TCAAACTTAAAATTATACTTGTTGCCTCTCGGTGTATCGTGTTTACGACGTATAAGTATATGCATGCACAATACCTTGGCGGCCCTCGCCAGAAACGGCTGGTGTATCCTTGGCCTCCATATCGCTCCAGCTTTACAATGCAAAGCCTTTTGGTTGCTGCATCGTTCTGAATTTTATTGTACAACTTTTTTTTTTCTTCACGAAATTTAATACACGCATATGATTATCTCGTGTTCATACGTAAGATTTATTTTGATGTTGCGAGAGGAAACAACAAAAAAAAGGAGCCTTATTTATGCATCAGCTGTATTTGGACACAACCGTGTGTTGAGTATTTAGCGGGCGAGTGAAAAAAATATGTTGACAAAAACAATATGTACTAATGAGATGTCAATGTTGTACGATGGTCTCAATTACGAATGAAATTTTGCTTGGAAAAAGGCGACCCATACATTTGACTTAAATTTTACGGGGGTAATAAATAAAAAAAATTATAAAAATTTTTTTTCCATCTGAACGAATTTCGACCTTCCGATGAGTGAAGGTCAGGGCCGTCCGTGTAAGTGAGGACGGCTCGGGTCAGTCACTTGTTCTAGCCTACAGGTGGTGGTATTATTTTGTTTCTCTTGACACTGCGCCACGGTAAAAATGTTAATTGACGATGAGACAACTGTCCTCGTCTGCCGTAGAACGATTGTTTTAATTCTCACCACATCGGGACAACAACGACGGCCATTGATTATTCATCATCCGAAATTGCGTGGACCGACAAAAAAAATATAAATTCTCTTTTTCTGCAGTTCTAGATTGACACTAGGCACCTATGTTGTTCACAAGAAATTAAAAGTAAGTGCGCTGACGTGCATACGATACGATACGATACAAGAGAGTCGAAAGGATTCGAGAGACAAACGTGCGATGAAACGTTATACTCTATGGTGGCTTACTCGTGCTTCTGATTCGCAATCCTCGTGCGTCTCGGCAACCCCAAGGTCTGGCACATTAGTCGCCGAATCTGCATTAAGTACTTGAGCGAGTGACTTCGAGATGGGAATGGCTAGTCCCGACAACATTGTCGATTTCTAATTTCCTTCGAGTGAACAGAGTATAGCTATATCTACAAAGTCACTTTTGAAAAGAAACCATCTAATAAAATGTGCTCTACTTAATTATAATATTAATTCACGTGCGTATTTTGCGAGTGACAATCGATTACTGTGGCCTCTGACTGGTAACAAGTGGCTTGGTCCAAACCGAGTATCAACATTATTTTACACAACTTTCGCTGAAACTTAAAATCTCTTTGGAAGATTCGACAACAATGGCCAAAGGATTGCATGTTAATAAGAAAGCGAGAAACGCCGTTTTCGAAAACTATTAAGTAAAACATATAAAATCGTCGAGAGAAAAAAAAAAAAAAAATCATCCATTGGTAAACAATGTGAATCAGCACTATTTTTATGTTATACGTATTACTTTCCTTTATTTAATAAAACAATGGCCATCCATTTGTGTAAAAATCCTGTAAAACAAAAAGTAAAAGTTGAAACGTTAAAAAAAAAAAAAAAAACTCCAATGGAGATAACAAAGAAATGGCCACTACCATTATCCACCATATTGTACTTAATACATATTCATGCGCAACACATCCACGTATACGCTTGTACGGGTATATATATATATATATATATATATATGTAATCGTATTTCTCACTTTACCCAGAAACTCGAGCTACGTGACTGCGAATCGAGCAGTGCAGTTTGCTCTCAAGGTCGAGTCTCTCTCTCTCTCCTGCGTCTGCCTGTTCCGATCGACGAGAATCCAATTAATATTCCCTTCCTTTGGCCACTCCGCTGCGGACTTTGATACATCTCGCGCTCGCGGTGCACGTGAGACACTCCATCTCGGCCTAGATTGCGCTGACCCTTGGAGGAGAACGCGCACGCCTCGGCAGTTTCTACCTGACTGGGGTCACGTAGACGCGGCGATCGTTAATCCGCCTTTTCTGGATCGACCGGCATTATGGTCGCTCGCGCGCGAATTACTCGCATACCTCGACGCGTGAAAAGCACGTATCCGCGAGCACACTTGGCTTTTTCATGAGGGCTCGTACGTCTTATTTTGTGGATTGGCTGTTTTAACGGTTCGAACCTCATTTTCCTCATCTTAAAGTATACAAGTGAACAATCACTTGGGGGGATCAGAGAAGACTTGTTTAAACCTTTCGCGTTGGCAAAAAAAAAAAAAAAAAAAAAGCTATTTCAAATGAGATTCGTAGCTTTTTTTATTGAGCTTGCAAATTGCTGAGTTTTTTCCGAGGAGAAAGATGAAAAAATTTACGATGGTCATGTAATGAAATATTACACCTGCGTAATAAAAAATTCACTCCACCATCCACGCGTCATACACTTGAAAATAATAGTTGGTTAAAGTGATTTTGCTTCTTTTTTTTTTTTTTTTCTTAATGAACCGAGGTAACATTTTTCGAGACCCTAAAAAAAAATATGTGAATTTTCATGAGGCTTGTGCAACTGGTTAAAAATGGTTCAAGGAAAGCATTGTCCTCGAATTCATTGAAATTCCACGCGTGTGTCAAAAGTAAATGAAAATCATTCATCTCGTATACATTGAAAAAAAAGTGACACAAATAGAGCCTTGACAAGGCCTTCGTCGAGAGGACTTGCGATCAAAATTCACAAACCTCCGGTGAATACTGTTGCCCCGATGGTACATGCCAATTCGATGGATATAGTTTCATCGCAAACATGATTGATTACGTGGAAGCCGACCGATGAATTTTTATATAGAGTAAAAGCAGCAAAAACCATTTCGACTCGGGTTACCATATCATTTTCGTATGGGTACTGCGTTGAAAGCAAAACTTTAAGTACTTGACAGCTATATACTATACGTATGGTCGGTCGCCTCATCCCCGCGTCGACAAGTTTTTCAAAACCCGAGCGAAATGCAACCCGAGAATCTGTACTAATATTACTACTACATGCACACATGCAGTGCGCGCAATTTCAGATATGATGGTGGGTATGTGTGTATATATATGCACGAAGAAAGGAGAGCGACCGCGAGGCCCAATTCTCATGGCGCGTTAAATGCCACAGCGGTTCTCCGTCCCTTTCTCCCGCGACTCGCTTGCGCAATTGGATTTGATAATAATCACCGGTTCGGTGTATATTGCACGGTCGCCGTCTCGTCGCGCCAGCTGTTTACATGTTATCTATGCACACCACTTTGAAACTTTTTTTTTTTTTTTTTTACGTTGTCTCTGGTGTTGATGCCGCTGTTTGCCAAATATACCGTACGCGCGTGGGAGTCTCGAGAGAGAGTTTTAGACTTTTTTTGGTTTCTTCATTAAACGTTGGGCCATTGTCGTACGTCGCAAAGGAGTGTCTTGTATTTTCACCCGAGAGAAAAAAAAGTTCCATCATGCGTGGATTCAATTATTTTTGGACGATGCCTTGTATACATTTTTATTCTAATGTTTCACTGCTTATATATTATGTATGTGTGTCATGTCCGATTGAGCCTCAAAGGTGAAAATTTTAAAATGAATGAATTAAAATCATCCTTTTTTTGTCTCTGGTGAAAATCGTAACTGTATTTGTGCTTAAAATCTAAAAATTTAGGTCTGTTTTTTCCAGCTTAATGAAAAGTTAACGGGTTGGCGTGGGTTTTGAATTCCCGGTGTGTAACACTTCGATGCAAATTAATGCTAAATTTTCCGACGTGTGACCGTAAGTCTGTTTGAAAAAAAGGTTTTCAAGAGTTTGTATTGCTTCCACGTGGTAAACGTTTTTACCATATCATGGGTTTGGGAGGACCACTCCACCCATGAGTATATGATTCTAGCAATGTATTCGTAAGTTGTAGCATAGTAGGGGATCATAATATTTTAGACCAACGTGACAGCGTGATGATAAATTTTCTATAGTAAAAAAAAAAAAAAAAAAAAAACATACGTTCTCAAGCTGTCTGTGTATCGATGTTTTAAAGTCGAAGCGATTCATTCGGTATGTAAAATTATTCGCGACCGCAGTCGAAAATCTTTAAAAACGAGCGATCAAAAATTATCCCCGTAGTTTTAATACGCCTATTCGATTTTTTTTCTATACCTATATATCCAATGATCATTTGGGGAAAAAAAGGTGCGTAAAATATTTTCGCGGAGTGTATATACAAGTAACGTCGCGAAGGCACCTTGGACTGCTCAAATCTACATACATATTATACACGAAAGAAAAGATCACACATTAGTCACCGTATATAATATAGGCTTGCGATGATGTGGGTATGTAATATGTCAACAGGGATACTTATATTCCAAATGTTGCCTTTGTCGAGCTAAGGCGTCGCGTCGAGGTCGATGTACCTGTGCCAATCAAGGATTCATTGACCTCGTCATCGTAACACTCCGAGCTCGCCTTCGCATCACCGTCACTTCGTCTTCTTTGGATCACTTATTATGTACTATATACTTACAAGTTTCCCATTAACGATTGGAAGACCCGAGTATACAAATCTCATTTTTCACCATATCTTCGGAGAAACGAGCATTTTCTTCTTTTTTCCACAATGACATTCGGGTCCGATTTTCCTAGAGGGAAAATATGTAAAAATCGTATAAAAATTTTACATTAAATTTTTTTTTCCCTCCAGCCCGCTCGTTTGCCCACGCGTGCAAATAACGCTAACGGTAATCTCTCGAGCGTTCACCGCGCGAGTAAGTATTATACCAGTCGCGTACGGCGCGTTTTGCGTAAATTTTTCCGCATCGCGGCTTATATGTATATATACGCACATATGATACGTCACATACCCGCGGCATTATAGCTCTCCTGCACTGCTCTTGCGGTAACTAGGTCGGAGAAATAGGAAAAAAAAAAAAAAAAAGGAGAGCGCATTGTAGTTTTTTTTTTATCACCACTCGTTTGTTTGTTAAATATAATGGTGCTCTGTAAGTATATTATTTTGTTGTTTGCAGAGGTAGAGTGCGAGGTCTCGAGCCAAGTGGAGTACTCGTTGCAGGCGATATGGGGCGTGAGCATCCGCGAGCTCCACCTCGCGCTGTGGAAGCCCTGGAGCGCGCTGAGGGACGCATCGCTCAACGGGACCCTCCTACAAGGCCACGCGCAATACTTCACTGCGGCACAAGCGTATCCTTTTACTTTGTCTTACCCTCAACAATGGGGAACACGGTGGTTTAGACGGGCTGTGTACAGAGTGTTTTTCTTTTAATACAATATTGGAGTGGTTTTTTTTTTTTTTTTTCTTCCGTCTTCCTTTGTTACGATTTTTCGAGGAGCTATCAATATAACGACGCGTGTTGACGGCGGATAGGAAAAAAGGGGTCGATCGACCCACGTAAATGTATATAGGCAGAGTGGAAATTTCGGGGCAGTCGTTATTACGTGCGCAAAAATACATTGGGAGGCGACCAACCACAATCACCTAAGGTGTACACTGGTGGGTGGGGAATTGTTGTTCTGGCAGTTTTATTTTCCTTGACCGGCGCCGCGTGAGTGGGCCCGTGCAGTAGACAACCGCACACCGAGGAGACGCTGAGACTTTCGTTGCCGGCTCCCGAACTCGAGCTCGGCACCCCGCCCCGGCTCTGCTACCCGCTCGTCATTTTCTTGACGCGCAGGGACACCAGGGAATTGCATCCAGACGAAACGGTGAGTTTTATTAAGTACACCCGTTACATCTTTGGTCTCGTCCATCCGAGGGAAAACACTTTTTTTCTTTTTTTACGCTTTTACAACCTTCAGATTGCTGTTGGGGTCGAAACAGACTTCCCGTCGAGTGTACACTAATAATATTTAAATGCGCCCAAGTTTAACAACAATTTTTTTAAACTTAGATATAACGGGACACTTTACGCTGATTAAATTTTATCAATCGCTATCGCGTAATAGCTCCGTTTAATCTATATCTATACTGTTTGATTTAAGGGTTTATGGAATTTATGAAGTATGTATTAATAGTAGTTTTCGTCGGATAAGTGCCATCGTCTCCGGGGCTATTTTGCGGCCCAAGGGACCTGCGAAGCAGGGCCCGAGGGACGTAAGGTAGCCACGGAGCGATGGCGCTTTTGTAACGAATGCTATTTTTCCTACCGAGGGCACACCAGCCTCTCAAAAACGCCCGAGGTAGGAGAAATTATTTAAATAAACTATAAAAATATTAACACCACGCTTATGGATCTAAAGTGTACGGAAGCTTGTCGTTTTTAATATGCACATTTACAGCATGGCCGTGTATGGGTACAATTGATTAAGGGTAAGGTGTAGTACTTTCGGTGCACCGTATTTGACGATTTCAAAAATGATAAAAAAAAAAAAAAACTCACACCTCGCATTACCAAGCACAATCGGATCGCATGAATATTAAGCGAGACGGGCATTCGGGTGTATGTAGCGTGAAGTATATACATATAATAATTATGCTCGGTCAGATCGAGAAACGCGGGCGCGTGCGCCCTTGACGATCAGATCGTTCGATCGAGATGGAGAGAAGTGAAAAAAAAAAAAAAAAATAGAAAGAACGGTTATAGAATTTTTATTCGTATACACGCATGGGCACTCGACGCGAGGGATTTTAACGTTTTTTTTCGAGGCTCGACGGTGGGTTGAGCAACAGATTATACATATTATTTTTACACCCATAAACATACACATGTACCTACGTGCGATGGCCTCTGGGTCGATTTTTTGCTTATTTTTCTCTCGTATATATGCTTGCAGGTCGCGCTGGTGAATGTCGTACACATAAAGGACAGCGTCTGCACGCTACCGACCTCGATTCTCGCCCAGTACCTCAAACAGGCCAACGGCCAGCTGTCCTGTCTCAAGGTGAGCCTCACTCATCTCCCGTTATCAACGACGACCCAAGTCTATAATTATTATAAATGTATATATTATACTCATCTCGCACAAATCACATGCACATAATTATCATACAAAGTCATACATTTGATCTTCCAACTCTCGTTATAGAAGTAAGTACACATAGTCGAAACTTATTTCTATACGGTTTGTCGTTTCTCTCGAATGTACAATTCACCGGGAGGTTGTTTGTTTCAATTAAAAATCAACGCGTTTGACGGCATCATTGACACGGAAATCGGTGGAAAACTCTCGATCTGTATATACTTATTCTCTTAGATCGAGAGAGAGAAAGAAAAAAGGAAACACCACACGGTGCTTTAAAGTAACGATTGCGAAAATGCTCGACGCTCCGCTGCGCACCGATATCGCGCCCGAGTGAACTTGCGTTGCAAAATTTCGTCCCGTTTGGAAATTAATTTCTTTCTTTCTTTTTTCTTTCATAATGTTTTCAAATCCGTTTGCCTCACTTGTAATCGATTGCCAAAGCATTTGTGGGGTAAAAAAAAGGGTTTTGTTGAAAAAAAAAAAAAAAAAAAGGGGGCGAGGGGGCAAATTTGTATCCAACCATCGTTTGGTCGAGCGACAATTTTTTTTCCCGTAGCATATAGGTATAGAGGCCGAGTGCGCGAACTTTCGGCCTACTGACTGTTGCAGTGGGTATATATATGGTACTTACAGCGGTAACGTAACAATCGCCCGTTAGTTCCTTTCTCTGGCACGTGCATTGCATAGTACACATATACAACATAATATTATATATACGAGAGGCGACGACGATGACGCTTACACGTATGTACTTAATCGTTCGAAATGATGCTGGCCGGGAGGTGTTACGTCGAAAGGTGCCTTTTTTTCTTTCTTCTCTATATAATTATATGTTATCTTGTTCTTTAAGACCGTACTTCTGACGGTATACAGGCTTTTGCCATTAATAATCGAAACGCCACTTTTAACAACTGTACTACCGTATTTAACTGTTTATCCTCATGTGTCGCGAGGTCGTTTCTAAGATATAGATGTTTTTTTTTTTTCGAATCTACTGTGAAATTATTATTATCAAGTTTAAAATGTGATACTTTGCATAAAAAATATGATTTTTGTACGTGAGCTCTAATACCGTATCGAGAAATTTGAAACTATTGACATTTCCGTCGACTTAATTCACTTGACTTGCAATTACGTCTCCGTAGTCTGTGATTTACCTTCTTTGATGAATCATTGTCCTACCAATTGATTATTTAAACTTTGCTCTGATGCACTTTATATAAAAGTATCCATCAGCAGTTATACGTAATTGTATAAATATAAGTAAACTCGGGTTAACGGCGCGCGTTGTTGGCGGTGGGTATGTTGTAAATCACTTGGATCCAATAACCCAATAGGAATGGGTTGTTGGCCCGACGAGTCCGGTGTACGTGAGATTTTTCAAACTCCAAGGGCTGTAAATGTAGAATATAGAAAAAAAAAAAAAAAAAAAAATTAACCCGATGTATGTGCACACGCGTGTCTGTTGCAGCAACTGTACCTGGCGACGGGCAATTCGACAAACTACGACGACACAGGCGTGTCGGCGGGCCTGGGTCCGGCCCTTGCTCTGGCAGAGCCGTGCCCGAGCAACGGCACCAACTCCCGGGACGCCCTGGTGGCTTCGGGTGCCGGCGACGCCGACGCCGGCTCCCTCTGGAACAGCGCCGGTGAACAACTGTGCGTCGTCTGCCAGTACTTCCCGCTGTCGCGAGCCCTCCTGCCGTGCCGGCACACCTGCATCTGCGCCTCGTGCTTCGGCAAACTGGAGCGCTGCCCCATGTGCCGGAGCCCCATCAAGAGCTACTTTTGCATCAGGAGCGAGGAGTACATGCCCCCCGAGAAGGAGCTCAACCCGTGCAAGCAGCGCCCCCGCGCCCAACACGGCCCGTCCCACTGGCTCCACGACTGGAACGACCGGCTCACCGACTTTCTCGGCTTTACCCGGTAGACCCCCCCCTCTTCAAAACCAACCCCCCCCTCTCTCTCTCTCTCTGTCTTGAACTCGAATTACTTTAACGAGAGATTAAAAATTATGTACCACACCTCTCGAGATTTTCTCCGTTACCTGCGCTTTATCAACGAGTCCGTAAAAATACAACATCTTTTGTGTCATTCGATGCTCATTGAAATATTGTCTTTTAATCCGAGCCGTTGTAATAGGAGTACTTACTTATCTGTCAAACCCGCTTGGTATTATTATTATTATTATTATTACTACTATTGTCATCTCGAGTTTAAATTGGCAATAAAGAGACAAACTCGTATTTTGTGCTCGAGGAGTATTGTTTTTTTTTTATAAGATAGAAAAGCTTTCGTCGAGTCAATGAAACTCGAGATAGAAGTCGTGGAACTTTTGCCGTAAATCAGCAAGTTGTTATTCAAGCAGTTGGAAAAAATATTCATGTCGGTCATTGGAGCTCTGACGTTGCGAAATAATGCGATTGTGCGATAATACAATTTTATGATTTCATACATTCGTCGTCCGTCTGTGAATCCACGATTGTCGCGCGTTTGATTTCCTTTCGAATAAATTGTGACTTTTATCAATTTTTTTTTTTTTTATTTCGGTATCGTCGTTGTCATTGCGCTCGCCAGTAACTCTTTTGTCAGGATATTCAAGGTTTTTTTTTTTCATTTTTTTTCTGTTCAATGTGTAAACGATGACCGTCTGATAGAAATGATTTTTTTTATTATTGAATGAAAAAGTTTTTATACTCACATTAAGATTTACCATCGCAAAATAGTGCGTATGCGAATGAATGTTGGCAAGCAACGAGCACACTTTTTTGTCATGATTTTTAAATTTGTGATTTTATTCCTTGATAGCGATTTTTGACTATAAAAAAGGAAAATTGTACTATGCAGAAAAACGACTTGGAATAATTATACAAGTCTGTTGTTTGTCTTGCAGAAATAAATGTTAAACCAGATGTGCACACTGCGAGTTATTAGAGCACGTGCGTTAATTTGTCTTCTAGGTGTCAAATTCATGTTTCCCAATCGGTGTATTGCTCCTTTGAAGACGGCGATTTTATTTTTAGTCGTACGATAGTATTCTTGAATTGTTCTTCTTTTTAATAACTAAATTATTAATTAAAACATTGCATCCTCTGTTTTTTAACTCGTCAACTCATTTTATTTTTTATTCCGCGTACTTCGGATCGTCATCATTTTTAAGAGATTATGTTGCATTTAAGAATTAAGAGGGACGTATTTATTAACTAACAGGTTACAAGAGGCCACTATTTAATGTTTGTGTCTTAATATATTGTTAAAATGAAGAAAATATAAGTTATAAAACAAAAAATGAAATTAATTGGAAGTTTACTAAAGATTGAGGGCTAGGACCAAGAGAGAGAGAGAGAGAGAGAGAGAGAAAAACTATAAAATCATCTCGTGCATTTTTTTCCAACTATAAATTAAAATGATGCAAATGCAGCTTTCGTTGCGTGTACTTTCTTATAAGGTATTTTTATTATTCCAAGACATATCTTGAAAATATACTATGCTTATAAAGTTACTCTTTGACTTTTACTAGTTTCTTGTTCTTTGATCTCGTTGATTATGAGAACGTAGAGATTTAAGTCTTTGGAACGGAAAAACAAAAAAAAACAAAAAAACAAAAAAATGAAAAACGATTATTAATTAACTTAGAATGAAATTTAAGAAAAGAGAGGAAATTAAGGATAAGTTGTAAATATACAGTCTGTGATAATCCTGAAAATATCTGTAAAGTTGTGGATTGTGTGCTCGGATGGAGGATACAGTCTGATCGAATGATAACGTTAATCATAATGTATTTAACGCGCGGGTGGTAACTTAACGAATGAAGGAAAAAAAGGGATGCAAATTTTTGCACTGAGAAATCAGATGGAATAGAATGTCAACTAATTAACTAGCCTTATTTGTAATCTCCAGTAATGTTTGTAAAGTTTTATTACTTGAGTAGCAATGTGAATGCCACGGTAATTTGGCAAAATGTATATAATTATACACCCAACGTAGCAGTTAAGGCCTATGAAGTCAATGTATTTTGAATTCAATTACCAATTTATTAATTTGTATAGTATGCATTGTAATCCAATGATGCGAAAACAATACCCGTATGCAAGGACTTGTAAATAATTTATTTAATAAAGAGTGTCGTTCCTAATCATTGTATTTTCAGTTTATTTTTATAGCTTAATAGTTATAGTAAGAACATTAAACATTTTACATGGTTTCAACAGTTTTTATAATTTATGTATACCTAATTCTAAATTTCAGAGACTAATAACTTACAAGATTCAAAACAAGAACTTAGTGCTACTTGTAAAAAAATATATTTTTTAATGAAGTTGTAGTTTCTTTCGTATTGTTGAATTATTTCATGTTTTATCACAATGAGCCATTGGCATTCTTATTAGATACGTAGATGTTCAAATAAATTACACTTAAGATTAGTTAAGTAAGCTATTCAGTCTTTGTTTGTCAATAATTAAACGTGTTTTTAGATCTGATGAAAGTTAGGTAAAAGACTTTTAAGAGTTTCCAACTCAGTTTTTAGAGCAGATCTTATGTCATCCAATTTTTCGTTGCCACTAAATTCTATTATATTTGAAGCTCTAGATACTTGAACTTCTTTTGAGTCTTTTTGAGCCCTCAAAAATTTAGAAGGACAACTTGTTGGTAATATCAAAGAAGATACATTGTTGTTTTTGAAAGACTTGATTTTCTTTCTTATTCTGTGCTTCAAAAGATAGATAAATTTTGATAACTCAGTTATAGTTTCATCAGTTTCAACTGTCTCTTTTTTTGTCAGCTCATCTATCACAGTATCCTAAAAATGTTGAGTGATATTAATAATCAAATTATCATTTGAATATGTAAAAGTTTCTGCTCATACCATCCATGTATAAAAAACGTGATTTTTCTTGATCCACTTCATATAAGCATCCAACATTGATGCTGCTTTTTCCATTTCCTTAAGTTGCTTGGATTCTTTTGCATCATTGGTTTTATTTGTGACCAACTTTTTTACCAAAGCCATTTCAGACACACTCAAATGTGGCAGGCCACTTGTGGTGAGACTAGCTGCATGAACTCTAGTTGTCAGTCTTGTTTTTTCCATGCTCAATTCCGATATAGCTTTCAAATTAGAGCTCAACTTGTGAGCTTTGTGCAACAAGTTATTTACCACTTTCTCTACCGTAGACAGGTCTGCATCGTTGGATTCTTCTTTCTACGAGTACCAAAAGATAAAACATTAGTTTCAAGGAAGAGGCAACTGAAAAAACACACGTTATGGCCAGAAACTTACATCTTCAACCTCTACTTTAGAAAATTCTCTTCCCAGAGGAGAATTCATCAGCCTTAGTCTTACGACATTTTTAAGGACGTCATACCTTGCAATCAGCCAGGCTAGAGCCAGTAATAGAGTTCTACTCCCAGAATCGTTTGTAGTTTCCGAAAGACCATAAAATTGCAAAACCGGGTACTGCAAGTAAGACATTCGGAATTTCGTCCTTGTCACCACGCCTGGGATGAAATTATTAAATACTATGTAAATGTAGTGTACATTTTTTTAATTTGTGCGAAAAAAATTAAGTTAACTTGTTAAAAAAGAAAAGACAAAAAAAAAAAAATACACACCAAAACGATCGAAATCGATAAACTCGTCCTTTAATTCTTTCAAAACAAAGTACGATAGTTTGTCTAATGTCGTCCAAAAGGCATCGATCTAACATTGAAAAAAAAAAAATACAAAAAAGGCACAACAAATAACAGCAATCATAAAAATGTAAAAAAAGTTGATAAAAGTCATGTTATAACCTCAATCCTCAAAACGAATGATTCGCATACTCACAACGTCGTCGTCGGTCTTGTCGTATTTGGCAATTCTGAAATGTTCGGGTGTTAATGGACTATCGACGGCATCGTGCAAACACTTGCATAGAATCGTAATTATTTCCTTTACGTCGATCATGTTGACTTTTTGATCATTTTGATGTTTGGAACTAAACTGCACGGCTGATGGTGGGTGACGGAAAGTTGTCACGTGTGTGCCGTGCGCCGTACCGATGTCACGCATATTATATCCAGCCGATCGAGCGATCGGAGCTCAATAAAAATCCCATTTAAATATGTAGGTATATGATGGTCCCCAAAATACGAAATTTACGTTAAAAAAGTATTTTTGCCAATAATTGTCTTTGTGTTAGTTATGCTTTTGATAAAAATTAAGATTCTTTGCAAACCACGCTTATTAGTCTTCTTCGAGGAAAAAAAAATACCAAAATTTGGAATAAAATTCTTTTAACGAGTTTTAACAACGTATATATTATTTATCATCGGTTACTGTAAAACGATTTTTATATATGTATGAAGGGCGAGAGAAAAAATGTTGAATCAGTTCCCTTTGATAATCGATCGATCTGATGTATTGGTTGACTCCCTAAAAAGCTGTATGCAACAAGTAACGCAAAATTATATTAAAATTGTAAAATTTATTTTAAAACAGCATCATACAATTATACGAGTGAATAAATAAATAACATAATATTAGGCACATATATATATATATATTACAATAATTGACACAATTGACAATAGACTTGTCTGCGGTAAACTTAAAGCACTTGAGTGTCGCAATCCAACAAAAGGCACTTTATTAATCATCAAACGCCCAACACACTTTCAATGTATATATGTATATATATATAGTCATGTACGATCTATCATTGTTGTCGTTTGCAATAATCACACGTGCGATCAAGCGAGAGCATGTTGCCATAAAATTGTCACTGGCCAACGGTATAATCAGGCACTGTGATTAACGGGAGCACCGTTGGGGGTCTGCAACGCGGTGTCATCCAGCACGGACTCGACGACCCCGAAGGACGATATGAAGACGTTGAGTATGGTGACGAGGAAAATGGCAATGACGGTCCAGTTGTTGGCCCGGTTGGCCTTGCACATCTGGTCCTCGTGCAAGACGTTGTACCGGCTGTTCCAGATGAGCCCGATGCCCACGATCACCTGGAGGAAAAGGCTCAGGCTGATCATCACCAGCGAGGGGTAGTAGTACGGGTGCCGGCCGCTGTTCTGCAACACGTACCGGAACTGGTTCGCGTTCGCGGATATGAGGGCCAGGTCCATCATGCCCTGGGCTATGGTCTTCTTTTGCTGGTAGACGTTCACGTTTGTCGGCGATTCCACGCCACCCGGGAAAAAACCGCCCATCTGGTGGTGGCTATCGAGTCTCGGTGACGAGGGGCGCTGTTTTTTCGGTACAGAGCACATTCAACGTTAATTTATTTTTCTTCCTTGTTACTGATCAACTATTTTTTCATTCGTTACTACAAACTTTAATGGAATTTATTGATTTTAAATCCAAAACCAATACGTCAAAATACATTTTTTTTCAAAGTTAAAAATAGGGTGTAACATATATCTTTTACCAAAGTGATGACATACATGAGGTAGTGAAAAGGGACTTTTACATGAATAAAGTTTTATCGTGTAAATGGTAAGTCTGTCGAAATAATGTTGGGGGTGTGATCCGACTTTTCAATGCAGTAAAAAATGGTTGCAGCTTGGATTTAAAAATAATAAATTATGATGGTTGTGCATCGATAAAAAAATTACCAAAAAATTCAGGGACGCTCCTCAATTGGGTTCAAGCGATTTTCTTAAAAACACAAAGCACTTCGGTTTGTTCACTTAGAAAATATTCCAACCTTAAAGTCTATCCAACATACGTCACATGATTATAATTATTTTTTTCTACATTAATTAAAAATTGCATAAAATCTTTATTTATTTTTTTTTTAATTAAAAAAAAAAAAAAAAAAAAAAATTAACCCGATGTATGTGCACACGCGTGTCTGTTGCAGCAACTGTACCTGGCGACGGGCAATTCGACAAACTACGACGACACAGGCGTGTCGGCGGGCCTGGGTCCGGCCCTTGCTCTGGCAGAGCCGTGCNAAAAAAAACACTTGACTGGAAAAAAAAAGATTTGTCAAACCATTCTGCTAAGCGTCATAAAATGTGCTATTGCAGTAAGTAGGTTTATTTACTTTTGTTACCTATGGACAAACAAAAGGTAGATAGATTACAATACACCTCTTGGCTCGAACAAAGAATGCATTGCGGAACATCCCTGAACTTCTTAGTCACGTATATGTATATGTATAAAATAAATCGTCAAATCTAAATTTTAGCACATATATAATAAATGGGAGCGAGTTCAACGATACATTTGCTTTTCAATACGATAAATTACAATTCAAGTTGAACCCCGTGGGAGGAAGTTTCGTTCCGCGCGGTAACTTTTGCCATATCAGGCGACAACTGCCTGTCAATAGCGAAGGTGATAAATATCCATTTGTATTCTAATTCACACACTGGGAAGCAATAAATCTTCATTTACGTACATTATGAATTAACATTGAAACAAAGTCGCAATGAAAAATAAAAAAAAATTCAAAGTATCGAAAAGTAAGTACCACCGAGGCTGTCTCGTGGTCGAGTTCGTGGAGCAGTTCATCGTCAATGCCGCGGTAGTGATCGCGACCGTGACGGTGGGCCTCGGACTCCTCGGGCTCGTACTCCACAGAGCGACGGTACCCCTTGTCCGAGTGTTTGTTGACGTTGTCCGTCTCCAGGAGATGCGGCTCCCCGATCGATGTCCCATCGGCCGGCTTCGCTTCGACCCTATGACTAACCCCGTCCTCGTCATTGCCACGCGCGCTCCTCAGATCTTCCATGTACAGGATCACCTTGCTCTCCTCTTTTTCCTTGTCCACTTTTGGACTAGACATTGTGTGCTTTTCTTATTAGAGTTGATTTAAATGTCTTCGTCTTCGTCTCGGGTGCTTTTACTTCATTCAAATTTTGCTCGTTCAAACCAACCCATCACTCGTGCACAAGGAAAAAAAAAAAAATAAATAAAAGACTTCCTTTATGCGTGTGTTGGCAATTAAGTGTCCGTTAATTGTTTGTGATTCAGCCGTCCGAGCGAGCGGCGGAACAGTTTTATTGTGCTCAATCGTACGATGAGGACCAAGGGGCCCTTGAACATTTTCTTTCGCCAAATTTCACCGACACCTTTGGCAACTGTATATCCTATACGCTATAACGTGCTTGTAAAACGAATAAAAAAAAAAAATTAAAAAAAAATTCACGCACATACGGATGAATCAGTCCTTTGTCGCTACGATAATGGCACCGTCAACGATAACAATGTACCTGTGCGAGTTCATCGACGCCACTTGCACCCACCTCCCCCCGGCAATTATTGAATAATTAATTTCTACGCACCCCAACAAAGTACATACGACACCGAGAGAACGGCACTGCTCCACCTTGGCATCGATTCGCGAACTTCCATGCCATTGTACTTGTTCTCTATGGAAATAAAGGCAAAAACACCGCGTGGATGTAATATACGCGCTCCCATGGGTATAGTATACCCGCGGTACGACGAGGCTGACGGACAACTGATTCAGCCGCAACGGTAGCGCGGCTGGTGTATACGCGCAAAGTTGGTAAGTATATTGTTCCGTGCGAGACACTTTTACAGTTTCCCCTCTTTTCGCGCTCCGCGAGTGCGTGATGGGCCTTCATTCGGCTCGTGTACAAGTGCGCCCGAGACTCGCGCCGGACGATGTACCCTTGATCTTACACACTTGGAGAGATTCACCTCGTGGTATATACCTGAAGCTGAAAAACGTTCAAAATCTCGACATTTTTTTTTTTCTTTTATCGGCCCATTTTTCTTTGTTATACACTGGCTGGGTAATTTACGTATCTACAGTGAGTTTTCGCTGGAATATATATATATATATCGCCGACCTTGCCGCCTGTGCGTTTGATAGCGAAAGTTGATAACTGCACGCACGCGCGATTTTTTTTTTTTTTGGTTTCCCGCATTTCCTCAGCACGATATATGGGTATTATATACACTGGTTGTTCTTCTTCAATCGTCGTGCATCAGAATGCATATAATTACAATTTTTATTTTTTTTTATCAAGTTATTTCTAACGTGTTTTTTTTTTTATTAATAAATGGCAGAAGTGGTAGTTTAGTATTTAGTAAAAATTTTGTTTCTTTATCTCTTCATAATTTCTCGCTGTCCAGACAGTTTATCGCACCTTAATACTATCATTTATGCTAGTTGATGTATTTTTGACAGATGTAATTATTGGAAAAAGTATTATGTAATGTATCAACTACGATGAAGAAAATTTATTTTTAAGATCTTAAACAACTATCTATACAAACATTCATTTGATAAAAAAAACTGCGTGTCATTTCGAGAGGTAAAAAAAAAAAAGTGATTAACTGTATATAAAGTAAAAAACGGCACTACCATAGACGGCAAAAGAATAAATTTTTGTATGATAATTACGTAGGAATTGACTGACAAAGCAAATGAAGATTGCTGCCTTGAATCCAATAATAATATTTAAACATGATCTAATTACATCATACAGTAAGAATGGAAAAGCATCGAAAATAAGTGTCGTTGCATTGAAAACTTTTGTCTTTGAAGAAACACTCGTGTACGCGTTTAAAAACAGAGATAAACAGTCACATGGGCACAAACGTGGCTTCCATTCACCAAGTCTCGAGAGGTGTGCGTGCTGTATATAGGTATATAGTAATGAGTAAGGATAGTACTTACAGTAGAAAACACCAATGCACCATCACTGGAGAGTACGAACAAAGCTCTATCTGCTGTATAATATCTATAGACGCGGACATAGCAACTGGCCGTTTCCGGCCGCCCCTTCCCCACTCTACGTGTTTCACATACGATTTCTCTGCCCCCCTTTCACTCTCTCGATCTACCGATCTCCCTTAGCATTCTATGGCAATTCCCTTTTTCATTCACAAGCACGACGTTATTATTTTTTTTTTTTTTTTTTTTTTGCCCAAAAAAAAANCAGAATGCATATAATTACAATTTTTATTTTTTTTTATCAAGTTATTTCTAACGTGTTTTTTTTTTTGTATTAGTTTGGGAAACTCCGTTTGAGCCACAACGCAAAAAAAAAACAAAACCCATAAAATTTCTTAATACCTTGCAAAAATCCTCTAATCCCAAAACGTATAGGAAGATTGCGAAAAGTTTCGAAATTTCGCGAGCCACGCAACAACCCGTCGAGGGATGCGCAAACCAACCGGGTGATGGAAAAAATATGTATATACTCGACTCGACTACATTACATTATATATCTCAACGGAAGCTCCAGTGAGGGTTTTCCATTGCAGCGCTCACTCAAGACTATGCAAGAATAAGAATATTATTTTAATTGCACTCGTGATTCGGCTCTCACGCCTCGCTCACTTTTGCGCGTCAGTCAGTTGTTACGGGGCATACATTAATAATATAAGTACCAGCATCCGGTGTCCAGTAAAAGTTGCGTACATGCAAAAAAAATAGGGTGAGAGTCAAGGTAACGCAAGAAAAAATCTATCGAGAGATGCTGATGATGATTCATCCATGCCGCGTATACAACAATGCTTGATTGCCATCTGCATATTATGTACACCAGCGCGCGTAATTAATGGCTTTTTTTTCTATACCCGCGATAAGACCGCCCGGTACATTTGTACGGTGTGTAGTACTCTATTTGTATGATTGTTTTTTTTTTTTTTTTTTTTTTAATTTCGTTAATTTGACAATTTTTGTGTTTAATCATGCGCAGCCCCAAAAACAGAAAATGCAACGACTGATAATAAAAAGTAAGCCAGTGAGCACAAATAGTATGCAGAGATGGGGGAGGAAAAAAAAAAAAAAATAGAAAAAACCGTGTCAGCAGTATCATCGTTGTATACACGTATCCGTCAGCTGTTCCGTGCAGCAAACGGAAATGCTTGTACACACGCGAGTAAGTATATCCGCAAATTGATATGGGCCAATCTTTCAGGAACGACACGACAGCCGACATCAACTCAACGCCGTTGTATATTATATACCGGGGCACAAAGGGGCGCATCGCAACGTACATATATACATTTGCACCGGCGAGTTGCAGCATCGTAGTCGTTCCAATTTCGTTAATCGCGCCGAAACACGCAATAACCAAACGGCCTTTTCTTTTTCATTTCTCTCGTTTATAGCTTCTTTTCGAGCTTCCGCGTGGGACAAATAATGTGCACTGCAGGCGTAACCAGCTGAGTATCGAACTACCCCGGCGGTCGTCAAGCAAACAACGCCGAGCCAAAGCCCCGGAGAGCTTTTTCCAGCTGGTCGAGTCGGGCGCGGGAGATCGAACGCGGTGCAAGCTCTTTGCGTGATCGGCTCCTTGTTTGTCATCAAATTTTTTTTGTCAATATCAGCAACTACAAGATGCTGTCCATCCTTTTGGTATCCAGACCAATGCCCACGTTGATTTCAATTTACAATTTGGGACCGGTAAAAATCCACGGTACAGCTTGCGCAGCGATGCGAAAGAACGTTTTCCGAGGTGTAAGGTAAGTACAAGCTAAACGATTGACTCTCCACCGCGAACTCTAAACAATAAAAAAACAAACCCACGCGCAACCTCATTAGCACGCCGCGCTCGTACAATCTACAATACAAATGTACATAACGTATATAATACGCATTAGCTTCCGCTCGACCGCACTAGCGGTCCGCAGCCACGAGTCGGCCCGTTATCAGTGAGCGGCGATCTCGAGCGCACAATAGATATTTATATAGCCGGTCGAGAGGAAGCCGTCATCTCCACGGGTCTCTGGTGATGCAGAGGAAGTGCTGCGCGCACTGCCCGGGGGACGTGACCCGCACAGGTGAGCCAGCGAGGGAGCACGCCTGCGACGTGCCTGGTTACGTCGCGGGCAGTCTCACCACCCAGCAGGAGGGCTCGTGCTTCGAGAGATTCGCCACGGCCAGGAAGTGCCACTCGGACAACCTGCAGCACCAGCCGATATTCACCGAGGGTCTGGAACAGATGCAGAACGACGCCTGCCGGTGCGAGGAGGATGTCAAGAGGTTGATTGACGTGGAATGCCGTGTGCGAATAAGATGTTTGATCAGTTGCGATGCATTGCAGACGGGGTGGCCATAGGGATCGGACGGGCCGGCAGTCGAGGGAGCTGAGTCGCGTGCACCGGTACGCGCCGGCTCTGGGCTGCAAGGAGCCCACGACTTACATGGACCTGGCGATCTGCTGGGAGACGCCGACCGATCCGTTGTACGAGCCCCGCAAAGCTGTCCACGTGGATGGTTCGGACGGCGGACCCGCGCCCGCTGTGTTCACCCTCGTGCAGCACGAGCCCTCCCAGGTGGATCTCAGGGACGGCTGTATACCCGGCCGGAGCGGCAGGGACCGGCAACGATGCGGTGACGAGTGCGCCCACGTCCGGAAGGTCTTTCTTCAACCATATTGTTATTTTACTTCCGTGCACCGATGCCCCGAGGTGTGCTAGGACGTGCGTATTGTTACTTTTGCAGGCGGACGCGGAGATGGAGGGTGACGAGCTGTGCCGGCACTTGGATTCCGTGAGTCTGTCGCCGGCCGGTGGGAAGAAGGTCGTGGCCCGGCCGCCTGTGGGCGCTGCGGCGCGCAAGAAGCGGGCCGAGTTTCTGCGTCACTGCGCGACGAACGTCGGCCACGAGCTGCCCAAAAAGACGTGCAAGGTGCGCTCGGCCTCCTGTCTGCAGAAGCGAGGCTGCACCGTCGTACGGGCGAAGAACAACGGCTTGGTGCCGACTCTCGACGCCGGTGGGAGGGCGCTGCAGGTACCCAGGCCCCGGACGCCGTACGCTAGGCGGGCCTTTTGCATCGATACGCTGGCACCGCCCTTCAGTGTGGTCAACGGCTGCAGGGATGCTGACTTTCCGGAGCACTGGAGGCTCACGTCCGTCTACCAGCAGTCGTACAGGAACCCGAGGAAGATGCGCGAGGGACGCACCTTGATCCATTACGATAGGTCCTTCGTTTGACTCTCTTTTCGACCCTTTCGTTTTTTTTTTTTTTTTTCATCTTCGTTACCCGTCAAAGAGCTTATAAGTATATATACGTATATGTTGTATGACGCAGGTGACGGTGCTGAGCATCGTTGGCGATTTTTAAATTTTAATTCATTTGTTGTACTTTGTGCAACACTAGACACACTACTCACAATTATAATAATAAATAATAGAGATAATAATAATAATAATAATAATGCCATCGTTAAATTAGTACAAATGCTGTATTGTAACTATGTATGAGTACCTAATTGAGCCTCGTTGAACGAAATAATCAATTTACCATTCGTGTACTTTTTTGTTACACAAATGTATAATGAATAAAGATGTAAGTAAATACACAAGCCAATGTGTCATCGCACATGACATGACAAATATACCTTATTTACTCCCTTCTGGTGGTTCTGATATTACTGATGTTGATGTAATTCGGGTTCGGATCCTCTAGACGGCAAATCTCGTCTAGTATGAGAGTCTTCTCCAACCGCTCCAGAGCCACCTTTTGCAAACGGCTGAGCAGGTTTGGGTAGGGTGCGATCACCTGCTGGAACGACTCGCGTGGCACGACGAGGATCTCGCAGGTCTCGATCGCAACGACGCTCGCCATTCGGTGCTCGTTCTCCATCACCAGGGCTATCTCGCCAAAGTACGAGCCGTCCTCCAGGTGGCACACCTTTGTTTTGCGCGTTAGTCAAGAAAAAGAATTCGAACGAAGCAAGTTACATCATGATCAGCCTCACTTCTTTTCCCAAACTCGTGTAAACCGCCACCGTGCCCGAACCGATGAAGAACAAGTGCTCGCCCTGGCTACCTGACTTGACGATCACATCGCTCGCCAAGTAGATTTCGGGCTTCACGTAGTTCACCAGCTGTATGACTGCCGATTCGGGCAGAAACTTGAACAGATCGACCGTCTCGAGAAGTTTCTTGTAGTTGTGGAAAACCAGTTGCTGCATTGAGATTCAAAACGGAAATTTAAGCATGTGCTGTAAAGGAAAAAAAAAAAAAAAAAAAAACGCGTCATCTTACTTCTCGAAGGGGCTCGGACACTTGGTTGAGTATGTGCCTGTCGCGGTTAAAGTTCTTCTTGTACCAGTAGTTGCAGTAGACCATCAGTCTTTTTTGCGTGACGCGAGACAGTTCCTTATATTGCATGTACTCCTGCAGTTGTTGCATGAGCTTCAGGCGCTCTTTTTCGGAGGATTGGAAGGTCGACATGAGTTGCAAAAATTGAGCTGTGAATGATGGCAGATTGTATATGCTTGTATATGCTTGTTTTCGGAAAAATAAAAAATGACAAATAAGGTATATGGCCTACAGAGCAAGTAAATGAATCCGATTTTGCCGAACACGGCCAGAACAAAATTCATTATCATGTCTTCCGTGGTCGTAACGGGCAGATAGTGGGACGAACTGACGAGCGATATCGTGGCGCGGTTGAGGCTTAGGATGTACTTTTTCAGCTTAGAGTCGCGCTTTCTCATGGCCTCGCTCATTATCCAGGACTTCCTGTTTTTTGTTTTAATTCTCATATAAACGACTGGCCGAAAGAGCTTGGACGACAAACATGTGGTATACTGACGATAGCGTATCGTCGACCTCGTCGAATTCCATAACGAGCATGGGCACGTAGTAGACGAGGCAGGCTGACCAGTGCAGACTGACGATGATGATTATGGCGAGTTTCAGGACTTTGACCGTGTGAAAGGACAAGTGGTAGGCCTGAAACGTTGCTGAACATGTATATATCTTTCAAGGTAGAAAACAAAACATTTTCATACCTTGTGAAACTGGTTTATGTAGTCGATGAGATTCCTCATTCGGAATATTTTCACAAAGTTCATAGTCGAGCAGTACCAGTCGGCGTGCGTCTTCCCGTGCGCCAAGCTATCAAACACTTCGACCGGCACGGCGGACAGCAGGTCGAAGATGAAACGGCTCTTTATGTACTTTCTGCACGAAACATATTTTAACGTATATATTTACAACGAAGTAGATACATATTATGTGCGGTATATCGATGAAAAAGCCTCACGTGGACGCGATTTTCCGGTCCAAAAAGACGGTTTTGGTGCACTGTTCGTAGTAGCCCGTGAAAAAGTTCAGGGTTATGTCCATGATCAGAACGGCGTCGATGAAAAATATGTAGATCAAACTGTGCTGCTGGTCGTCGAAGAAGAAGGCGTTCAAAAAGGGCGTTATCACGAGGGCGACCAGCGTGAAGAAGGTCATCAGAATATCCCAAGAGTTCCTGGGGAACAAAAGTCACTTGTACTTTTTTTTAACGTTGTACCTAATGTACAATAGGGGCAGCGCACCTGAACGGACTGAACGGATGGACCATGTAGGGAAACTCCCGGAGGTGCTGGCTCATCTCGCGCCTGACGGCCGTGGTGCTCTTGAGGCAGGTCTGGGCGTAGTAGTGCGTGGTCGAGAGTATCCGTTGTCGTACGAGCCATCGCCTGACGTGGCCGTAATAGCCGCTGTCACCCGCGTAAGCCTTGACCACGTCTTCCTCGGGCTCGACTTCGCAATCGTGTTTTACAACCGGCTCCTGCTGATCGGTTGGCGGGCAATTGGCGCTGCGATCGTAAATGACACTCGAAACAACTCACCCTTTTATTTTGTGGCTCAAAGTCGGGCACTAGGGCCATTAAATCCATCCTGATTAGTTTGGATTTTTCAATCAATCAAGGCCTTTCGTCGGGTACCCGCGACAGAGGGCGTTCAAATTTTCGCGCCACTATTTTGCAGACAGCGTCCCTTTTCTCTCTCTTTTTGCGATATCCTGCAGATTTACAGATGAGAATAAGCCAGCGAATCGGAGAGCACATCAATACACCATTACATTTTGCATATACATGTGGCTTGTATGTATATATTTTGATAATTTCGGAAAATCGGTTGCAAGAGCTTGATGGGGCTTACGGTATTATAGTGAAAAAAAGTGCTCAACTCTCTCTCTCTCCAAACACACGAGCAATGGAGCGCCGAGTTTATCATCTGCCGCCAGCGTGGGCGGCTCTATAAAACAGGACGCCACGAAGAACAGTAATTCTTACGTGGAGAGGAGAGATTCGAGATATGATGCTGCGACGGTGAATGACTGATTTATTTTTTTATTTTTCAACATACGCTCTTCGTTATTCAACGCGTCTGCAAGTTTCGGTGGGTTTCATTATCCTCGCGTCTGTTGGTCCTGTCACTCAGCATGAATTTGCCGGAGATAAAAATGTAAGTGTGCTAGGTTAAGTACAGATACACATATATACGTTATAATTTTTTTTTTTACTTGTAAACAATTAGAGCTGATAATGGACGAAAACAAATGCTTATTGCTCGATTTTTACGCGCGACATGTCAATAGTGTCAATGAATTTGTTGTTTACATTGTTGTTGCGCTTGATTTGTTGTTTATTGATTAATTAATTTTGTGTTTTAGGAAAACAACATTTCTGTTTATTTTCGCTACTTTAATCGCCTTCACTTTGGCCGAGGATTATTACAAGTTGTTGGGCATCGATAGAACAGCTGATCAGCGAGATATCAGAAAGGCCTTTAAAAAATTGGCAGTGACAGAACATCCGGACAAAAACACAGTAAGTTCTATGGAAGAATCACTTTAAAAAGAAATTTATATCCATGCGAGTTCATTGTGTTTAAAGAAACTGTTTGTTTTAGGATGACCCAAAAGCGCACGAAAAATTCGTTAAATTGACAACTGCTTACGAGGTATTAAAAGATCCAGACACGAGGAAAAAGTATGATCTGTACGGAGAAGAGGGCTTGGATGATTCCAAGAGACACGGCAATTACCACTCGTACACATATTATCAGAATAATTTTGGAATTTACGATGATGATCCTCAAATAGTGACTCTAAACAGACACGACTTTTGTACGTTTATCATCAGAAGCCAAATGATTATTTTTGTTTGTCGTTTACTCTTGTACTTAACTGGCTATGTATTTTTTTGCAGTTGAAAGTGTGCACGAATCAGAAAAAATGTGGTTTGTCAACTTTTACTCTCCACAATGTGGACAGTGTCATCATTTGGCTCCGGTTTGGAGAAAAGTTGCCAAAGATCTTGAAGGTGTTATCAGGGTTGGTGCTGTTAATTGTGAGGATGACTGGAATTTGTGCCATCAAGTTGGAATTCAATCGTATCCAAGTCTACTACATTATGCTCCGGTATTTATGTTTGTTTTAAAAAGTATTTAGCTCCTAAAATCTTGTTTACATATACATTCGTTTTTTAGAACTCCAAAAATGGTGTGAAATACAGAGGTGAACGGTCCTACGAAGCTATTATGCGGTTCGTGCTGGATAGAATAGATGTAGATATTCGTAAACTAAGCAAGTCTGCGTGGAAAAGAATAATGAAAGGTGAAGATTCAGCTGACAGGCCCACCTTAGTATTTGTATGTAGCAAAAATCATTACTGTTTCTCACCAGATGAAAGATTGAGAGTGGCTGCTATTTTTGTATGTCCTTTATTTAATTAAAAATTAATCCATTCAATCCATTATACTGAAATTTTAGAACAAACGATCTAATACACCCAATAATTGTTTCAGCATCAAATGGTGGATGTCAAAACCTTCGACTGCAAGGACGATGATTGTAAAAATTCACTGCCTGACTACTCGTCTAGTGCTGTGTATTTCCCCATTCGTAATAAATCTAAGTTTAAGCCTGTATACTTTGAAGATATTTTAGAAGTAGAAGATTTAGTTAAAAAAGTATTAGAGCAATTGCCGGAACCCAAGGATATCAGTGAAGATGAGCTGAATGTAAGTAAAATTTATCTTTAATAACCGTAAGTTTCAATCTTCTATACTTACCTACCACTGATATGTTTTTGTAGAATATTTTGGACGATTTAAGAGAGGATTCTAATGAAGGGTGGTTATTGTGCTTTTACATTGGACACGCGACAGATTTCGACGTCATGTTAAAACAACTGCCTGGAATACTAAAGGATGTTAATTTAGGTAAAAAAATTAATTGAAAAAATGTGTGGGATCAAATTCTAAATGACCTTTTTGTAATTTTGCAGCTAAAATAAACTGTGGAAGATACTCTCTTTTGTGCAAGAGTCTAAATGTGAATCATTATCCAGCTTACGGTATTTTGAAACCTGGTGGTGCATTTGAATTGAGTCATGGGAAAAATAGTATGAATGATTTGGCAAATTTCGCAAAGAATAGTTTGAAAGCGAAAAATGTATGGGCTCTTTCAGCCGATAAAATACATGATATACTTGGTGGAGAAAGTGGAGAAGCCTGGTTTTTAGATTGGTATGCCCCTTGGTGTCCGCCATGCATGCGTTTCCTTCCAGAAGTTCGTAAAGCTTCTCTACAGTTCGACTCGTCAGTATTACATTTTGGAACAATCGACTGCACAACACATTCCGAGATTTGCCGACAACATAACATTAAATCGTACCCGACAGCCATGCTGGTTAATGGCAGCCGTACACATCGCTTCTCTTCCCAAAAAACTGCAACCGGTATAGTGGAATTCATTAACGAAGCCATTAGTCCTACAGGTATTGATTTTGACTTTGAATTTAGAACAATGTAAAAAAAAGGTTCTGGTATCATTGATTAAAATGTTTTCAGTCTTTCATTTGAATTCCGACAACTTCAAAAAACTGTCAAAGAAGAAGTCCAAGCATTTGTGGGTCGTGGATTATTTTGCTCCTTGGTGTGGTCCATGCCAACAGCTTGCTCCGGAATGGGTTTCTGTGGCAAAGGTGCTGAAGCCTCTTTCATTTGTGAAAGTCGCTAGCATCGATTGTGAAGAAGAAAGATCGTTGTGTCAAGCTCAAAATATTCGTAGTTATCCAACAATTAGGCTATACCCACTGGGTAACGAAGGTTTGAGTTCCGTAGCGTAAGTATTATTATTATTATTATCATTATTTATTGTAAAAAATTAATATTTAATTAACCATTTTAAATTTAAATTTGTAGAATATATAACAACGGTCAAAGAGACGACACATCACTTCTAAGGTGGATAGTTCAATTTCTTCCTGTAAAGGTTCAAAATTTAAACGAGAACAACATAAAAAAATCGGTATTAAAGACTGAGGAAGCCGTGGTGGTAGATTATTTTGCCCCATGGTGCAGTCACTGCATTGTTATGGAGCCGCACTTTGCTATCGCCGCACAGGTGAGTTTATTTTTTGAAGGGCCGTGATTGAAAACTGTACGAAAAGCTTCCCACTACAATTTTGTACTTATGAAATGTTTCAGCTGCTAGAAGGTAAAGTGCGTTTTGCAAAAGTGAACTGTGACCATTACCGAAAACTGTGCGAAGAATCAGGCGTACGAGCTTATCCTACTCTAAAACTGTACTCCACGAGACAACATCGCAAGAGCTTGAAAGATGGAATAAAATTGGAGAGCTCGACTGCCGAAACTATAAGGGACGAAATATTGAAAATGCTTCAACAAAAAATTAGTTACAATGACGTGGATCACGATGAGTTGTAACGAACAAGTGAACTAGGTGCCTTATAATCTTAAGAGAATAGGGATTTTAATTATAGTTGAATTTGTTGCAAATGACTTTTACTTAACTTGTTCTCTCATCGGTAGATTTGTTTTATTAAGTAAAATTTATTTTATGTACATAACTATACATATGAATAACGTTATGCATTTCTCATTACGCAACATTTAACGTAATAATTGACTTGTCATTCACTATTCTCTTATAAATTTTAGCCAATTATTTCAATGGAACTAGAGACAATGACTCAAACCCGGCCAAAGTATGCGTAAATCTGCTAATGATACTTTAAACTAATTATTGTGATATGTGCGCAATTTTCGAATGTATTTACAACATTCGCTCTTCCGTAATATACAATTTTTGTATAATATTTAATATATAACTTTTCAGATAGACGAAGTTTAGTTTAGCTTGAAAAACTTTTAGATGAACTTACTGCACAACAATATTCATGATTTTTTTTTTTTTTTTTGCATCTTGCCAATTTTTTACGAACAAAGGACCNTCAAGTAAACACCAACAGACGTCTATTTTTTGTCTACTCGTTATGACTCACGGTTTTTCTATCGTTGTTGTTTTTATTTTAAACATGGTTTTGATGAACAAATTATTTCAAAACCGACAAGAAAGTTATTTTTTGTGCCCCAGAAAAAAAAAAAAAAAAAAAAAAAAAAAAAAAAAAAAAAAAAAAAAAAAAATTGTCTCTGTTGTACCTTTTGCATCTATTGCAACTCACACCGAGTGATGTCACCGGTGTTATTTTTCGGGGAAACTGCAGACATCTCGCGAATCGAGCTAAATCCAGCGTAGGGAAATCCAGAGCGTACACTCTCCTATTTTATACTTTGCGCTCATTATCTTCCAAGTATAGCCGCGAGAGCGAAGAGCTCTCGTTTTCCCGCAAATTGGCCACATATTCCTACATTGCGGATTAGAAAGAAAAACGATTGCTGCGTCATTTCTACATCTGCAACGTGAACAAAACAAAATCATCCGTCAACTTTTTTTCCGAAAAACGCTCCGAGTTAAAAGAGAAACTTTGCTCACACCCAAAGAGCGTGCGTGTGTACAAATGCGCGAACAATGATAGCTTTCCTCCCGCTCGTGCGCGGGCGGAGGTATACCGATCTACCGATTTTTTTCTCCACCAAACGAATTATGTAAAGCAACCGATTGTACCGTCATTTGATGTTTCAGGAACTTGGGGAAGACAAACAACAATAAATCAGGCGCCCAAGAAGAAGTTTCAAAGAGCCCCTCCCACGTCATAAAAGGACCCTCTCTGAGTCTCCCCACACATGTATAAAGTGAGTACAACCAGGTGAGCGTTCCTTTCTTTAATCCCTCTCTCTCTCTCTCTTTAGCTCCGTGTCTCTCACCTGGCGACTGCCTCCTCCTGCGTCCCAAGAGAGAGCGCCATTTTGCCATATCGGCGTCCCATCCGCGATGAGCCGCGTCCTCTGAAAACCTGCTCGCGAAGACGTACACCGAGCAGTCCGCGCTCCCACAGGAGAACAGTACCCGCGAAAGAGGAGGAGGTATATACACGTCCGAGCGTTGCGCGTGTATATTTATAAAAGAGTGGCGGCCGGGGAGAGGAGGAAAATCGGGCAGCGCATAATATACTCGCGGGGAAAGCCCCGTTACGGCTCAGTCGACGACGACTTGGCGGCGAAAGATGAGCATCGGTCCCATCGGCGCCGCCCGCAAACATTGAGATCCCGTCGGTCGTGTTGGCCGCGCGCGCGTGCGTGTGTGTGTTGATCCTCGTACTTTGTTTTGTGTGCGTCTGCGGCGTGAAGCTCGGCTTTTTCGAGCTCGTGCTCCTCATCCTGTTGCTCTGCGAGGTACTGCCCGTTTGAGGGCGCAGAGAAATCGGCTGACATATCATATATATAAGTACGTGTATATACACCGATGGACGTGAGTTAGGATTACCACACGAGAGCCAAAAGGGTCTCCGCGCAGGAGGACAGGTGAGTACTCGATACCTCTCTTGTGGCTCTGTTTCGAAGGTTTTTTTTTTTTTCCTTGAAAGCGCGTACCGATACCGATCGCCCAAGAAAAAATTCTCACATGTTACGCGCTTGGATACACGTAAGCGTGAAAATTGTGCAATTGTTACGGGAAAAAGGCTATCTCATTTGCCACCGCGTACGAAAGATCGCGGAGAAAGTACGTGTGTTATCGGAAGGAAACCATCGACACACATCCTTTTTTCGCTTCGGCCGGTTACGAGACTTGCAACGTTCCGTTCGATAAATATTCATCCGATACCGGTTACTTTGAACGCACAAGATTTGCATTTCTATTGCCTTTTTTTTTTCCTCGTGCAATTGCTCGAATACCTGTACGCTGTCAAAGTTACAGTGTATAACCGAAAAAACCAATGACGATCCCCAAAGGTGCGGGATCGATTTTTTCTGACAAGTAACATGTGCTCGCGGTATGCACTATATATATTATAACAGAAACAGCGAACAATGGGTACATGTATAAGTACACGTTGGAATGCAAATGCTGCCATGTACTCTCGATGTGAGTTCTTATCGGCTTTCGTTGTGATACGTCCACAGAGAGGGAGGACAAGAAAGACGCAGAGAGAAGGAGCAGCAGCAAGTACCTGTATATCTTGCTTATAAAAAAAAAAAAAAAAAAAAAAAAAAAAGATGGGCTCGAAGGTAGAGTACGTCGAGTCGTCGCACATGTACGCGACGAACTACATAAGGAATTCGAGGGCCATCGGGGTGCTGTGGGGCATATTCACCATATGTTACGCGATAATCGGCGTCGTGGCCTTCATCACGCCCGAGTGGCTCGGCGATCTCCAGCACGAGAATCCTGGCAGGTTCGGCCTGTGGATGAGGTGCAGCTTCGGCGGAACTGGTAATTACGTCACTATTGTACTCGTGAGCACAACATCAGATTTTATTATTTATATATACATTTTTTTTTTTTTTTTTTTTATATTATAGTGTACTGACCTACTGTGGGTATGTACACTTTTCTTTCCTTTTATTCATTGAATCATTTTTTACATTGTCTCTTTACATATCGTTACATCATATCAATATAAACATTTATCTTATTTTTTCGCTGTCATAACATGTCTTTTTCATATTCGCTTGTATGTTTGTATCTATATATCTCCCCGGTCACGCAGGACCGATTATCGATAAAACTCTTCACAATTCTTATTTTTCAATCGGTTTGTATTTTTTATTTTTATCTTAAAATTAAGCCTTATCCCTAAGTCGGTTTCATGGATTCGATACCTGGCAAGAACCATCAGAAAAAATCTGAGTGCCCCGACCGGGAATCGAACCCACGACCCCTCGAGAGTTGTGTTGTTTCGGTTTTATATACATACATTGGAGGTATGGTTGCTCGGATTAGGGTCAAGATCGGTACAGAGCCAAGAGGGTGGTGGACGTTAATTCGTGGTCTGTTGTCTTGCGAGATTTTATTATTCAAATTTATGGCTTATTTCGACGGTAATCGCGCTTTTCGATATTTGATTTTTATGACACGGTGCTTGGGAAAGTTTTCCTTTTCAACCGCACGGCTGAAAGACAAATTATCCGTTTCGAGTTTCGTGAGCCTGCATAACGTATATTTTTACAACCACCTCGTTGCTATTTTTTTTTCTTTTTCTTTTCTTTTTATGCTTATTTACATAGTGATTTGTCTTGCGAATAAAAAATAAATAAGATTTACGGACTGTGGTATCGGAAAAAAATGACTTTCCCCAGATCGTAAAATCATAAGGAACTCCTCGATGATCACGTCGAATGTTGGTTTTCTTTTGCATCTCTCTTTTATTGTGCCAGAGAAAACCACCGACAGTTCATTTGGCAAAATGTACTCTCTCTACCGATTATTTTTCAAATGTTTCGCTACTAAATTTAATTTTTACTTTAACACGTATTTTTGTACTACCGGAAACAATTATTTGTTTTTCAACTAATACCGCACCTCGTGATTTTTATTTTGCTGTTACAGTTATTTTTCGCTTCTCACGCAAAATTGGTCAAGTAAACACCAACAGACGTCTATTTTTTGTCTACTCGTTATGACTCACGGTTTTTCTATCGTTGTTGTTTTTATTTTAAACATGGTTTTGATGAACAAATTATTTCAAAACCGACAAGAAAGTTATTTTTTGTGCCCCAGAAAAAAAAAAAAAAAAAAAAGTAAGAGAAAAAAATAAAAAACGCATCACGAGAGAAGATGAAAAAAAGCAACCCAACAATCTCACCGTTCCGCGTACAATGTGCACTTTCAGCCGAACTGGTCGAGGAGTGCGTGGGCCGGCTCGACGACCTGTCGTCGATTTCCAACGTGCCATTCCGAGCTAGCACCATCCTCGTGGCGATAGCCGTGGTCATAGCTCTCGCCTCGATCTGCGCCATGATGCTCTTCTTCTTCTGCCAGACGACCACTGTTTTCTACATTTGCGGCTGGATGCAGGTTATTTCCGGTAAGCTAGATTTTTCTTTCCTTTTTTTCTCTCAATCCCAGTTGTCGCACACCGATCATTTGTCCTTTGCGTGTATATATTATATTATATACTCACCTCCTGGGAAAAGCTCCCCTATACTACACACTTACATGGAATAGGAGACTACAGTGGGGGGGGGGGGAGGGTACACTTTTTTTTGCCATATTCCTCGAAATTGTTAGATCGCACGATTTCCCCCGTATAGTATACACGTATTACACTCGGAAAAAAGTGTTGGTCCAACGTACAAGCGAGAAATAACGCCGCGAACGTAAAATCTAATTGAACGGCCCTGCAACAACGATCATTGCTGAATTTTACACTTCAGTTCGCACATTGTTTCGTAACCAATGTGTATAGTTTACACGGCTCGCCAAACAACTGCGTTTATAGAGAGACGATGGGGTATACACATAGTTTGCCGATCGGAGAAATTGTTCGATCTGACGCCCGCCAGAGCCGGTGTGCTTTTCTTAGCACCGTGGAAAACTATATACATGTAGCGCGGGGAGTCGTGTTTTCACTATATAGGAGCGAAAACATTGGAGCTGTATGGACTGCAGACGTGTGTGGACGAGGGGGAGGCAAAAGATCAACAAACGCGCGAGAAAGCCGAAAAGTATATAACAACCATTGAGGCACCGACCGGTGTTTTCGCTTCGATCGCGTAAACAAAAATCGGTATGTATACTATACGCGAAAGAAAAGTAAAACCTTGAGAAAATCGATCCGCGGAAATGGTGATGCAGTTTTTGTCGTTAGAAAGTCCACTAGCACCCACCCCCCTCCCGAGTATATAGGCGATGGGCCGATTCCGCGAGTGAATAAATCAGCGAAGAAGCGCCGAAAGTGAGTAGGTATATATATATATCGGAAGCGTCCGAGTCACGGTGAGTTTGCGAAAGTGGCGGAAAGTGGCGGTTTTCGTCCTCTAACTGCAGGTTGGTTGTTTCGAAAGGCGGGTAACGACCATCACCGGTAGCTGTATAGGTGTACTAACAAAGTGGGTTGCAATTGGGCCGAGTAGTACTATATTATCATTTAGTTGTTGCGTACTAGCAAAATCAAGTGTTTTTACGACGAAAATGACGCCGTGGACGACAAATTCGTGTTCGGCAAAGTGAGCGCCAAGCGGAGAAAACATGACAATTGATTATGGCAATTATATTTACGTAATCCAAGTACACGTCCTGTACACGTAATGGAAAGGAGGAGAAATGTTGGGGTCTATCATTGTTTCGAGCGGAGGAGAACGTCACGAACCTTTTTATTTTCGTGACTGACTCGTGAGCATTTTTTATAGAATTGCCACTGCAACTAATTTTATGGTTCAAGTGGATAATGAACTAGACCATCGGATATTAAATTTTATTTAAAATGGTTTGTTTAACGTTTAAAGACTCTGCACCTGAGACGACGATGATCTCACGACGGGTATGCGCAACTATAGTTTAAAAACAGGATACGCAGCAAAAGAAACGATCGCCTTGACAATAATCGCTCGTACATCTATAATCGTCGATACATTTGCCTTTTAATTTTTGTTTCCCGACTCGATTTTTTTTTTTTTTATTTCTCAAAAGGTATCATCGGACGTAGGCTCGAAGGAATGTTAACAAACCATTCGAGACGTGAAAAATATCTAGACATTGAATTTTTTTTTTTTTTTTTTCCATCCTCGCATACCTACTCGACGTTTGTCAACGTAGACGGGGATAGAAGAAGGGGACGCGCAAAAAATTGAGCTAGAAATATACGCGCGGGCAATTAGCAGGTTTCTCAGAGCTCGGCACGAAAAAGGAAGCGGGCACTCAGCGGGAAGTGATTATTGCATATACGCGCCAGCGCTGCTGTCTCTTGTAAGTGCACATATATGTGTTTCATGTTTCGTGAAACTTCCTATAGGTATATATAGGTATACTTACTTGCCGCGCCATTGGAACTTTACGGTAAAAAAAAATAGATGACGAACTCGCTGATGAGGCGGCAGGGTACAGCGGACCAATTAACGCGCGATTTCCCATGGGGGGCGCGTAAAAAATTTGTATCTTTACTTGTACGCACTTGTATCTCTAATTTTTTTTTTTTTTCCATACCTTGAAATTAGTAAAAATCACGTAGCGCTTCGAGCGTTTTTTCTTACGATATTCACGCTTTCGCTATCGATCGATAAACATTTTTTCATGATTGCTCGGCTTGTACAGTCAGAGTACTTTTTTACGGACATATTCACGTATACCAGGACCATAAATTACAATAAATACCGCAATCCTCGGTACGTTTCATTATTTCACTTTCGATCGTTCACGCGTGTAATCATACACGAGCCAGTCGTCCGATTTCATGCAAGTAACAAAACATCGGTAACGTAAGAAGCAAAGAGAAAAAAAAAGAAAAATATTAATTTGCGGTACATACGTGTCCGTGCGACGTAAACACGTGGATACTATACGATTCGCGCTCTTGGAAAGCTAAAATCCGCGAATTTTTCTTCCCAGCTCGTATGGAAAATAATACTGTATAATATACCGCGCGCATAAGCTGTGTTTTTCCAAGTTTCCCCGGTTCCTACAAGTATTGCTTTATTGCTAGCGTAATGTAATATACGCGCAACTTTCTACCAATTTTTTCGATATAAATTACCATGTTTGCCTACGTGAAACTTGTTTTTAATTGATGACCGGCAACTGAGTGTTTTCCGAAACAAAAAAGAAAAAAAAACGCGGAAAAAATCAAGTACAACGCACGTGCGTTCGGAGACGACAACGAGGACGCTGGCACAAAATGAACCGTTACGGAGATGAGGTCGCGACGACGCTCCTGTATAATATACATATATAGTCATACGTGCAACGCGTGTTATTAATACCGCTCTCGAATTTCACGTCTGCGTATAAGGTACATCTCGTTGGTGCGACACTCGTCCAATGCGCGACTCTCGCTGTGACATACCCCATGGCTTTTCATTGGGGAATTATTGGTCGGACATGGAAAAAAATTTTGCAAAAATCGACTGGTCGTTCAATCACATTTTTCGCCCATCTCGATATTTAATTGTTTGACGTCACGCGGTCTTTGTAACAATCACGCGACCAAATTGATATTTCAGCGGTATGCACCTATATCCGTGTACATGTATACAAGGATTGGCCGGTCACGTCGTGGCTATGTACATAATTAATCGAAGCGACGTGACTGCGATTTCGAGTCTTGCAACGAGAGGCTCGTCAAATTAATGTAGATACCGGGACTTTTTTTTCCTTCTTCCGCCCTTTTGTTAACGAAAAACGTGACCACACAACGAGCGAAACTTGATCCGTAAGAAAAAAAAAAAAAAAAAAAAAATCAACGAACCGTTTGTTGACGTGCCGAAAAGTAAAAACACGTCTCGCGTAGACGCGATTTTCACACGGTGGGAATAAATCGGTATGAATACAATTATCAGCTCGATAGATCGTTGCGTTGTGCAATAAGTAGGTACACATGGGTATATTATAAGGTTGTACATAGCAATAAAGCCAAAGGGAGGACTCATTGCGATCGACCGGTCTCTCTAATTATCGCGCGAAAAGATCGGCCGCGGCTACATGTACCGATGTGTATTGTAGGTACATAAGAAGTTATTCAACGCTCGACTAACGAAAGAGAGAAAGATACATACGTACGGAGGGGTAGAGTTGCACCCGCTCTCGCTTTTATATACACAAACACGTTCACTTAGGGGGGGACTAAGGCGCTCCCCCGTGACCCAAACCCATGTAAGTATTGGCTTATATTACATACGTGCTCGCGCACACATATTATCACGTGCGCGGAATCCGGGCTGGAACGGCTAATTTTAAAGCCTCTGGTAGCGCTGATTCACTCGCCGACTCTCTTTATCTCCTTTTCGTACATTATATATATACGAAAGTGAGTAGGTATATATATATATCGTTTGCTTCTCTCCCTCCCCCTTTATCTTCGTGCATGTGAAATTTATAATTTGTACACGCTTACTTTTCGCACATAGGTACCTACAATTCCCTGATGGTGAGTGAAAGTCTTCTCTCTCTGTTGTCTTTGTTTCGAAAAATGATATACCCACCAATAGATATAAAAGCTCACGATGCACAATCATCTCGAAAGGGGAGAGCTTTTCCCTCAACGATCGTGTAATATCTCCCAACTAAAATCGGTTGTTGTCAAACTCGATTCTTTTTTGTTTTTCTTCTCATTTTCAACGCAGTGCCCGCGATTCGCGTTCTCACGCTTATATACTTAACGCGCGCCAAAACAAACGAGTGAAAATAAAACGGGCACGGAGAGAGAGAGAGAGAGAAAACAGGTGGCCCACCCCCCGTTAGATTCCTCGAGAGTTAACAAAAGTTACTGAAACGTAGTACTTATTGTATACGGTGTAGGTGAGCGAATGCTCATATAATATTACACTTACTTCATTCATATATACCTAAAAGGAGCAAAAGTTGGTAGGTACAATTTTTAGCGTTTGGCCCGACTATCGCGCGCAGCGCACCTTTTTTCTCCCTCACTCTCGCACACGAGGCGAACGCGCTTTTACAGTTAAGTATACATGGAAAAGTATAAAAGTAACCAAGTGTAGCGTTGGACTGCCACGCGTGTGTTGTATATGTGGGTAAGGTATACCCATCAGCGTTGGATAGGTATACCTTTCACTGGCCGCGACCTCGCCTACTTACATACCTACCTTCCCTCCCCCTCCGCCTGTACAGCCGAATACGTATTACACGCGCAGCTGCACCCTTTTCATACATATTGGGTTTAAGTGTGCCTAACCGCCGGTAAAATACCTCCTTACCGTGGGACAGGTCAAATGGGCCTTTTTGGTAATTTTTCACGGGTGGCTTTCGATACTTACGATTTTTTTTTTCTTTCACAGCTGTTTGCATGGCCATCGGAGTCTGCGTCTATCCCCTTGGATGGGATTCTCCGCACATTCGCGCCGTTTGTGGAGCCTCGGCTTCGAGGTATGTTCCATATACTTGCACTTAAATTTTAATACCAGATTCTGAACCCAAGCCAGGGTTATTTGTATGCAAGTGCCAAAAACTGATTATCCATTTGGTTCGACTGTCGATTGATTGACTCGTTAATGCGGTGGTATATCAAACGTTGAGATTTTACTTCCACTTTTTTGTGAAAAAATTTTATTCGTTGAGTTTTAAAAGCAAGATTTGAGGCTCAAAAGAGTCCTTCGCCTTGAAGCTACGGACCCTAAAAACAGAATTTTTTTTTATTCTTTACTCATCAAAATGACTTGAATTCTCCCAAATAAAAAATACTCATTTTGCGAAAATATCAATCTTCAAGAGTTTATGTGCATGGAATTATTCTAGATGGTAATTTTGTTTTTTTTTTATTCATTCGAGTGTATCGAGTAAAACGATCGACCTTGTCCCACAGGTACAACCCAGGGGCGTGCGCCGTGCGATGGGCCATACCCTTGGCGGCCATCGCGGCCCTCGACGCCGCAACCCTGGCCGCGCTCGCCTTCATCTTGGCCTCGAGGCACGTGAAACTACAGCCGGAGCCCTTCAACAACGGATCCCTGTACAAAGGTGACGCCAGCAAACCACGACATATACCGACAAAACCTCTCGCGTGGCCATTTGTGTTTTTTTGCTCAATATGAAATTTCCGCAGGTGAGGTGAACCCGGGCTACGTGAACGAGGCGCAGAGCATCGCTGGCTCGCGCAAGTCCCTGTCGCTGAGGCCGGTCCTCCTCGTGGCCCCACCGGACCAGGACCGCTACAGCGAGCTCTCCCGGGCAAAGTCGCACTCGCACCACAGTCTGTTCGCCGCCTCGCAGTCGCACCCCCTCCACGCCATGTCCAACAACACGCTCAACCACTCGCAGCACAACTTCCAGCTCTGATCGGCGGGACTTTTTTTTTTTTTTCCATTTTTCTTCTTCTTCTTCTTCGTATAAGTTTACTCAACTGCACTGCCAGAACGGGAGACTCGGCGCCCGCGAGCTTTTATCTGTGCGTTGCGTCTTTCTTTGTTGTGATCAGCGTTGAAATGCCCCAAGTGTTTCGAGTATTATGTATTCTATCGAGTATAAATTTCGCGATGCAATGTGCACCTAATATTTAAACTGTTGCGTGTCTTTTCGTAAATTGCTTGGATACATTTTTTTTTTTTTTTTTTTTTTTGCAAACTAACATTTTTTTGAGCTTTAACTTTATTTTTTCTCTACGTTTTATTATTGACGAGTCTGTGGGAGTAAATAGTTCGAATTTACTCTTGCAGAAAAAAAAAAAAAAATCCGTTGTCCCTAAGCGTAGATTTTTGTGTACTTGAGTACATATTTGTATATTCAACATTATTATGTTTTGACTTTGAATAAATAGAGAGTAAGTGATTTACGTTTGATGATTGGTATGTTACAAATCGACTGAATGGTGTGAAACAATATTGTTACTTGTTGAGAGTGATTGGACGGAGCTCTTGGGAGCGCCAATTTTTTTATACAAGTGTTTTTTTTTTTTTTTTTTTTTTTAATTTTTAATGCATAATAGGATTTTCTATGTATTTTGTACAATTTTAAAATATTGCCCTTTATCTGTAGCGTTACTGTATTTATACATAAAATTTATACCGTAAAATAAAATAAAAGTGTCGTTTTGATCATTTCATTCCTACTTTTCATAAAATATGTCATACATTTGGGGTATAAGATATGAAAGAATTTTTTTTGCGTGCCAGTAGCCGAGAATTTACAAGTAAACGGTATATATACGATGTATTTAATAATGATATGTTTTTAAATATTTGAAACATTTTTTTATAAATTTGAAATATCTGCTTTGATAAAGGATCAGAAGTTCCACAATCTTTTTTAAACGATAGAAACTTTTGGCTGTAACAAAATTATACTTTGATTTTTTAAATGATGAAATAAACAAACGAAAAATTTATAAGTTTTTGACGAACATGTATACATTTTCTTGCGTATCTCAATTTTACGACACGGAAGTCATGAGCCGCAATAATTTTACGCAAATTAATTTTTCATGGATGAACAAAATTACCAGTAGGTCATTAAATTATGAGAATTTTAATAGACCGTGTACTTAGGTACACAACTGTTTCTGGGCCAAAATGATTTTTTGATAAAAATAGTTGCCAGGCCTCAATATACACTAACTATCATAGTATATTCATAACGTAAACAAAATTGTCACTTGTTTTGACCAACATATATTTTCATAGCCCACGCTACGGATAAGAAATAATTATGGCGCTGGTTAATATGTCATTGCTTCAGTGTAGTGATACTCCGGATCATAGGCAACCGTACACACAGCCACGTACCAAAGGCTGTAAAATAAATGCGAACCTCGATGCTTACGTCATTTTGGAGTAAGTATACATATAAGTAAAAACAACAATTTAATTTTTGACTAGTATATTTTTAATATTATAATACAGGACAAATGTACTTTGAAGACTTTTTTTTTCTCGTATTTCGATCATACCTTATCATGGGGGGAAATCGCTACACAGTCAAAATCCAATTTTTTTTTTTTTTTTCGACAAAAATAAACTTCGGTGATTCTCGTACGCCATATTTATGTCGAAGGAAATAACTATATCATACAGAGAGGAGGAAAAATACTATTTACTATTTTTTTTTTGTTTTTTTTCTTTTTTTCCTGACTTTTCTTTTCTTCATCAACAATGGCCTCGCGCGTCGCAATCAAATGGCACGCCGATTCATTTTATGGCTTGATTAACAACAAGTAATTTTTCTCGAAACATATATTATCACATGAATTCCCTCACATTTATACAACTCGCCTTAACTTTACAACATTAAATTCTACGACACCGGGAGTCATCATCATCTCTCTCTCTCTCTCTCTCTTACAAAACTATATACGCGATGAAACATGTACAAGTTGAACTCGGAATTGTGGAGAAAAATTCATTTATTCTCAAACGGTGTATGCGAAAAGAAAACCCATATCCACTACACAGTTGCTCCGACATTCCTAAACAACCCAATGAAAAACACCTCGAAGTGCTTTTAAACACATTTTCCTCGTTTGCTTACATACTTGTGTACGTATATACGACGCATTTGTCACCATCACGACATACCGATGTCGCGTGAGACGAGTTTCGTCGAGTCGCGGGAACAAAATGTTCGAGACCACGTAAAAGAGCGGCGCACACGCATAAAACACCCTCGCCGATGGCGTGCACGCGGACAGCAGCACCCGCCACTGCTGTATATATATATATACGACCATTTAAGCGCATCGGATCCACCAGCCAATAAACGGATCGGCGTTTAGACTCTCGCGCGAGAGCTTCATTAGGCAGCGCCGACGAATGGCTTTAGTGCACCCCATATATGCTATTTTTTTTTTTTCTTTTCATTTCCGCCGTATATACATAATACACGCGACAAGCCGACGGGTGCTTTTATCGCTTTACTGGGCTACTTGTGCGCGAAATTTCGCTCCTTTACGGCCCCTACTTTGCAGCGCAAATGCAATAACCTCCGTCCATGACGACTCGGTGATTTATCGCAAGCCTATATATACTGCGTTTTGAAGCCACCGTGTACACACGTGTGTACGGAATAAATTAGCCGCGTGTAATTACCAATTACCGCGATCGCGACCAATAAGAAATTTGGATTTTTTTTTTGTCAATCATCAACCCTTTGGGCAACACGAGTACGTGGCGTTTTCTTGCACATCGGGTATAATCGGTTTGATGCATAAATGTTCCCATCGGTCAACAGAGTATATACCTATCCGAGCTACTCTTTCATGGTGACATCTACCCGTATATATATATACATCTCGGGAGTATTTATACAATATACAGTATACATCGGGGGGGGGGGGGGGGTAATACACCGGTATACTTGGTTACATTTCTACAAACAAAAGTCAAGATGCAGAATGGAGGAAGCGTTTCTATATAGATCCCGGAGTGTATTTACAAAAAACCGAGCTCGCTCGTGCGTGTACAATGTAAAAAAAAACATAAAAAAAAAAAAAAAATTACAGAGACGCGGTCGATCGCCTGCAGTTGAATTATCGGTTATCTCAAGAGAAAGAAAGAAAAAAATGTGGAGAAGTGGAAAGGACGTTCAGACGTCCTTGCCGACGACGATGCCGCAGGGCTGTACGACGCCCGTGTCCAGAAGCAGCCTCGGCCTCTTGGCCGCGATCCTCCCCTCGTCCTTCTTAAGGAGTTCCTCGATGGAGTAGGGGTTGCGTTTCCTGGGGCTCGGCTGCGGTTGCTGGGCGTCGCCGGAGCGCGCCCTACCACCTACGTGGCGGATGAAAGCGCTGCGATTGCCGCCCATCTCGACCATCGGTGGACTGGTGCTCTTGGCCTTGGCGACGCAACGCGGGAGGTCGTCCAGGTCGCTCTTGTCGAGGGAGTCGTCGCTGCCCACCAGCGAGCTCGAGCTCGACTTTATCTCTATCGCCGTCTGCGACTGGGACTCCTGGGCGTCGAGGCTGCTTTTTTGTTTTTCACACACGTTATTTCGTTTTTTTTTTTTTTTTTTCACTTCATTTTTCTTGTTTTTTTTTTTTTGAAGGACAATACGATACTCACTGGACTCCGTTCCGCAGGTGGAGGCTCGTCGCTTGGTACAGCGACGAGTAAAAACTCGAGTTCCAGGTGGGCGTCGGGGAGCCCGAGACGTGCAGCGGACCCAGAGCGCCAGGGTAAAAGAACTGGTAGTCCGTCCTCAACAGAGACTCTGAAATTGGGGTTTTACGTGTAACTCGAGCCATTATGTGCCATAGGCAAAAACACTTTGTATCGCGTGCCATTATCCATTTACTGAGCATCTCGACACATCCCGTGGGCATACACCTCTCAAAGTCTCTATTCTCCGTGAAATTCATCAAAGGTGCATTCGCAAAAAGAACCGCGGGCGCCGCCACTCTACCTATCCCGGAAAAAACCACCGCTAACGCGCCAACTTTGACGCCCATATTAACCGAAAAACCGAGATTCGTCTATAGTCTACTTTTTTATAATATGTATATACATACAATACTTGTACATCGGACACAACGCGCGTGCATATATATATATACATCATAATCACAATTCGCGTGCTCGGCAAAACAGGACCTCTAATGACTTAATTTCCCTGGTGATGATCGTCTTTGAAAAAACGTTTTGCACGATATGGCCCCCAAAAAGCCGACAGGTGCGCTCTCGGGGCCATTAGCAAAAATGGTCTAAAAACGCGCGCGTGTGCTTATATATATATGCCTAGGCGTCCCCTTTCTTCCTTTCGCGCTTACGCTTCCGGATCGGAACGAGAAGACAGCTGTCGCATACGCGTGTGTATAGAGATGAGGAGTCAAGATAGCGCCAACGTCCCTCCGGAGATGATCTAGAGAGAGAGGTGCGAACGAGAAGGATTTCGGCGACCAAAGGGAACGCGACAAGATCAATTGATAAATGACGATCGGCGGATGAAAATAAAAAAACACTCACCTCCTCCGGGGATGGCAGGGGCGCCGGGCGGTGACACTTGCTGGTGGGAGTAGGGAGACGCGGGGGCGGACTCGAGTCCACCGAGGCCGGGGTGCACCTCGGCCGGGAGGCCACCGCCCCTCAGTATTCTATTGACGGAGGACACCGAGGGCAGGCTTTGGGGATCGCAGGCGCCCTGCCTGGCCAACTGCTCCCTTATCTCCCAGGCGAACATGGTCGGCTGCTCCTGCTTCATACGCAGTATCTTTTTCACGACGCTCGGCGTCGCCACTTGCTGCAAATAGTTGGTTTTTGTCGTCATCTGTGCTCCGGGCAGGATAAATATATATATATTTGTATGTATGTACATCCCATTGCTTTCGATTGATCTTTTTTTTTTTTTTTTTTTTTTTTTCCACAACAATCATACGTATAAAATGGATGACGTTCGAGCGAGAAATCGGTATAAGCCCCTATACGCATATATACGTATACATTAATGTCGATAGGGACGGTGGGCGTGTACATCCGGCAAGTGTATAATCATAATGATACACCGACGTGTGGGAGCGCCTTGAGTCCCCTTATCACTCGTTACCACCGCCACGCGATCCAGGGTGATGTGTACGTGTAATTACTCGAGAGAGTGTCGTCTGTCCCCTCGTCACCTATTTCTCGACGATCGTCGGCCCCCCTTATCTAACCGAGGGCAGATGTCACCTGTCCCACCCCCCCCCCTCCTACCCGACTCTCTTCCCCCCGCGCTACCATCGTACGTCGTGTACAGTCGACCGGACGTGTACGTATATAATATGGTGTGCAATAAGCCTTAGCAGTGTCGTCCGATAATCACGTCGTTGTACACGTGGGTTCCAACGACTACGACGACGGAAGTGTCGGAGATCCGTATCTGAGATGCCAGCGTTATTGGGCCCCTTTTGGTAATACGCTGTCCACTTGAGCTGCCGGTATGCGTGTAGGTACATCGCCCCCTCCCACGGTATACATATATACACTTGCCCCAAATGCGGTTGACAGAGACAATAACGTTTACAACCCAGAGTGTACGGGAATTGTCCTCTGCGCCGTGTACCTATTACTGACACTCATGTGTATCTATCTATCTCTCGATTCTTGTACTGTGTGAGATCGAGAGAGCTACCGATTCTATACGCAAGGAGAATGTGTAATATCGGTTTCAACGATATTTCTCAGTATTACAATCGGCATTGTCCAATGAGCGTATATTGAGAGTCCATGTTGCGTATACACAATTGAGCAAAAAGTATTCACGATAACGATACACCTATCGATACGATTTTACGTAATAATATAACTTTCGCGATCTTTTTTTCTCTTATCGAGCAAATATTATTGGCAGAGTAGAAAAGTAAACGCGCGCGATGTGATTCCAAAATCGATGAAAACCAACAATATCATAGGAATGAAACTTATACTCACGGTGAGCGAAAAAACTAAAAAAAATCGGTCAAGGCACTCGTATCGGCCAATTAAAGCAAATTACCATTACCTATAGAAATAAGAAGCCGATATTATAACAACGCTGAATAATATACACGCGCTAATTATAATATGTGGTATAGCCAAAATCTCATTTCTCTCTACACCGTTCCGGTATACCCTATATGCATACATAATATAGGGTATGTATTATACATACATAATATACACGTCCAGCTCGCGTGGCTCGCGCGTTTGCACTTTCCTCCCTTTTTTGAATACATTATATACCCTTACCGCAAAACCCTTGCCAGGTATATAATATACACACTCACGAGGCAAAGCCCGAGCGGGATCTCGATCTTCGATCTTGAAAATCCGTGCAAGCGCGCACGCGTAACCGAGCCGAGAATTAAATACACGTATAATACACACACACACACACCGCGGAGAGTTAGCACGAGGCACGAAGCTCTGGTTTTGCGGCATACATTATTTTTTCATACATCCCTTCCTCGGGAGCTCATTTGCAATTCAAATTTACCAAAATGAGCGGTCACACTTGCCATGCTTTTCCACGTGTATATATGTATATCTATACGTATTTATAGGTGCACTCGCGCTTTTGCATATACATATATGTGGCGAGAGGTATAGCGCAATTATACACACACACACACACACACGAGGGTCGAAGTATAAACCAGCCGAGCGGCGCTATCGGTATGTAAGATCGGTAAGCAGAAGCCGAATACGAGGGACGCTACCCTTTGGGGCACCTACACTTCTTTCCCTCCTTCCTTTTCGGTAATTTCTCTTTTGTGTGCGCGCAAGTTGTACACCCATCATGTGTTCCCTCTCGATGGACGAGGCCCCGGGTAATTTGCCGTGGACTACTGTCATTTTCTACGACGAAACGAAAGGAAAAAAAAAACAAAAAAAAAACGATGTCTCGCACGAAACCATCACGCTTTGATACCTGTTATGGGAGGAGGAGGAGATGACCGGCGACGATTACCCGTGATGGGGCCAAACGATTTTCCCGCGCTAACGTTTGCAAAAGGGCGGCAGGGGGGGAGAGTGGACACTCGAAGGGCGGCGCGACGGGGCCACCCGGGCGTGACAGCAGATTCCGCGCGCCGATACGCTCCTGTACAATCTTCACGCGGGACACGTTTGGGTGGGGAAAAAAAAAAAAAAAAAAAAAAAAAACCGTTATCATTGTCCGAATCTTTTTTTTTTTTCAGTTCGATTCCGAGGATCACCGAAGCTGTTGTTATCATCGCTCCGAAGGAGAGACAGAAAAAAAAAAAATCGCAGAGGTTATTGTTACGAAGAGCAAATCGAAAAGAAATCGATGTTGGACGACAACGTAATATCGAAACGCAAACATACAGAGAGGACGACGCGCCGCGAAAGATCTTAATTGCGCGATAGCGAGGAAGCACCCAAGTGCGGAGCGTCGTTTGGACGGGCCTTTTATTTGCACAGGTCTTGGACGAGAGAGCCGCGAAATAAAATATAAGTACCCACCGAATCGAACCTTTCTCCATTCATTCCCTATACATCGAGTCTTTCGTCTTGTATTTTTTTCACGGTTTGAAAAAATATACAAACTCGCGATTTCAATAGCCGCAAATGTCACGTAACGCAGTCGCGTATACCCGTGATCGTAGTTTATTATTCATCCGGTTAATAACAGCGACGACAACACCCCTCGAAATATCGATTCTCCCGTAGCTATATACTTATACGGTACACGGAAAACTCTTGTAACATCAGCAACGACAACCTGTACAACGGCTCGACATGGCGTTACACTTGTATAGTGTTCGCACGTGCGGGTCACAGGTATATAATCACTTTGGCGTTGAAAAATCCAGGTACGATTCGGTGAAGCGATATTTATCTGTTTTGACCCCGTTTTGTCTTTTGCAATTTTACACGTGTGTCGCGTATTTTGTTTTGTTTTGTCCACCTGCAAGGGGGTGGATGGGTTTCTCTCCTCACCTCCGAATAATACGTAATTTTGCGGCGTTTACGGCGACGACGGGACTTGCATATTTTATAAGACGCTCCATTTGCCCGTCCCTCATTACCGCGCTCGCTCGCTTGACGTGGTTTCTTTTCCGAGTGCAAAAACATGTACACACGCTGTGCGTAAACAGTACACGTACGTGGGGTATAGTGCCGCGAAAGCACACGTTACGCGACTCTATAGTGCATCACTGGATACGTAAAGTTTATACATGCATGAGCTGTTTGCCCCCCCCCCCTCTCCTGCACGTAGTGTGTGCTGATGAAGAACAGTCGCATATGTACATAATAATAATATTCACATACATAGATCACGTACGCGGAAACACGTGTACTTACGTATATAGATGACCCGGACGATTAATGCAGTCACACGCTTTAATTATCGATGCGCTTCGAATTCGGGTAGTTGCGATATAATATGTGCTTCCGTTCACGAGGAAGTTGATACGAAAAGTCAAACATTGAATTACTAAAAATTATTGTAACTAGAGAGTGCTTGAACAATTTTTTAAGGACTCAATTTTTCAGAAATTTGTTGGTAAAATCAAGCGTATGCTCAAAGGATATGTTGTTCGAAAATTCGATGTTATGTAAAATGTATATATACTTACGGTACGTAACGTAGTTTGGATCAGTATTATAATATTTAAGTGGCTGTGGCATATCGAATTTCTTCCACCGAAAATATACGTGATTATCGTAAAAAGTTCTCAACTCTCGGTGACTTTTTCGACACGCGCAATTACTCGAACAACTTGTGAAAAAAAAAAAAAAAAAAAAAAAAAAACATCCGAAGCGTGAATTTCAAACCGATCAACACGTACAAGGCGGTGGTGGCACCCAATTTTTCCCCAAAATTACCGGTACGAGGATATGTCCCTTTTCGCATTACCATCCGATCTCCATGAAAAAAAAAAAAAAAACTCCTCCAAGAGAGAGAGAGAGAGAGAAAAACAAAAAGTCATTTCCCACAGCTACCGACTTGTCCCCCACCAGCGAACACACCTCTTCTCACCCCATAACAAGCTCATTTTTCGCTCTTTCGCTCGCAATTTCGCGCATACCTGCTACACGCGGCCAAAGTACTCGCGGGCAACCCTCCTCCTCCTCCTCCTTCCAATCCAAACGCACGAGCACAGGTAGACCTGTAATTTTCGTTGCTCAGCCTCGATTATATTACCGGTTTTTACGACGTCGGAGCTGAAACTCCCGTATCCCTGTGAGCATCCTCTCCCCGGCGTAATTAAGAAAACCGATAAGATTATCCCTTAACTGGGTAGTTGGCACCTCGCTTGCGTCCCCTCGTAAACCGATGTGTACTGTACAATATTATCCTACGCCACTGCACTACGTATACAAAAGTATGGTATTTTATGCTCCCGCCCTTTATTCCCCTGAAAGAATTATGTCGGAGGTGCAGTGCACCTACCCGCGAGTGATTTCCCGCGTACTTGGGTGTATATATATATATATGAGCCCCATTGCCGCGAGTAACCTTCGCTTAAAATCGCATCGGCGACCAACCCAAAGTCCCTTTAAGATACCTAGCCGCGCAGCATCCTCCAACGTGCCAATCATCGCACGGCTGTAAAAACCTTCACCGCGATCGTACGATACGTATTACGGGGAAGGAGTGCAAAAAAAAAAAAAAAAAAAAAAAATACGTATAGGTATACCGAGGTCAGAGGAAGCATTTTCCGTTTAAGGGTATATAGACCAAAGAATGTATATATACCTACTTACGGTAGCTCGTGAACCCTCGGTCGATCGACTGCCGCTTTTGCACGTATACCTAATGGGCCAGAGCTCTTTATATTATATATGCTCCTCTGATGTGCTATACAGCAGCGCGTTACTTCCGAAATGATCATTTGTACAATTATACTCCCGTGTTCATGAAAAACAAATGAAAACGTATTTATTTATTTTTTTTTTCGATTATCTAATATTCGCCTTATACCATAGTGTATACCTGGTTCTACTTTATTTTTGTCACGCTTTCAAGTACTGTATTAATTCTCTCTCCGTTCCTCCCGATAAATCAGCATTCGCCGAATTCTCCCTCGAACGTCATCCAAATGAAAATATAGTCGAAAAAAGTCAACGAGTTGTACCTTTGTCTTGCTGCCGCCGATGCTACCTGGCCTGATGCTCCCAGTCTCGTAGAACCTGGTCAGTATCTTGGACACGCAGCCGTGCGAGACGAGAAGCTGCCGGGATATGTCGCACGGCCTCACGCCCACAAGGGCCAGCTGGACGATCTTTTGGCGCACGCAGTCGGGCAGAGGTCGGCCGTTCACGAAGACTCCGCCCAATTGGTTGACTCCCGCTTGGCCTGAAATCAAGTATCATGTAAAGATAGCTGTTTGGAAGATTAACTTTTTTTTTCTTAACTTATTTGTACATGTACCAAGTCACGAGTGCAGCGTGTTCAAATTAAGTCTCTCCGCGCGTTGCTGTATACAATATTACAGCACAATACGGTACCCCCCCCCCTTTCTATCGGCAACAATTTACCGCCAACATATCCCAATGAACATCCAATTTTCAACGCGACACCTTCACTCGTTTACCTCCCAAGGAATAGTAAAAAAAAAAAAAAAAAAAAAAACCCTGTAACGACCCGCTCGCTGTACACGCAAGTAATTACAGCTCATTTTTTTTCTCTCTCGCTCGCGTGGCAATCGTTTCCACGTGTTATTCGCGATTTCAACGAGCTGTCAATGCCCACACGCGGACCATCGGATCCCCACTCGGTTTTTCCTATACGCACTCGTTACAAATGTGTAGGTATTATATTATATATGCAGGATACCTTTAGCGGAACCCAACGCTGATAATACACACGCATTAAAATTATTACTCGGCGAACCGCCACGACGCGGTAACGATGAGTTATATACACACATCGGACTGATGCACTCCTTATTCCGGGAAGCGAAATTCAATGTTCCACCCATCGAGGATGCGCTACTTGGCGTCATCAACAGTGTACCAGTGTATAACGTATATATACGAGTCGCGGTCCAAATTCCAAGAAAACAATATACAAATGTATAGGTACGCCGGAGAGAGAGAGAGAGAGAGATGATCGGTTGGATTGGGGCCCTTTTGGAGGCACCTCCCTCATCCGACTCGGCGGCGCACGGCAGCAACGACACAAGCTATTAGTATTATCCTACGCGTCTCGGGGAGTCTGCGTGTCCATCATCGGAGCATCAGCGCTCGGTGACACCGGCAACAGGTATATAGGGCTAGCCGCAGGTGTCTCTCCTCCCTGTGCCTGTATACGCACATAGGTCTAATGATCTGCGTGCGCGCGTGGACAAGAGCGTGTATAATTAGCCGATGGGATGCGTTATATACATTTGAAGCCGGGGCCGCACGCGCGACACACACAAGAGTTGCCTAGACCAAAATTGCTTCCTGCGAAAGAGGAGGAGGAGTATATATACAGCGCCATAGCCATCCTATGCACACGTACGTGGGGGCCCTGCAGCTTTTACGAGTTACCGGCGCGTCCGTCTGTATCTCGGGTGTCTATCTTTTTTTCCTTTTTTTTTTGTTTTGTTCATGCGGAGTTTCCATCACCTGCCAAAGAGGCGAGACGTGTCAAAGGGAACGAGGGCAGCCGGAGGTGGGAGCACGGAAAAATAAAACGGCCGATAATTAAGTAGTACCTACATATATACTCAACTCGATACTCGTTTTGTTTACGAGTGTGTATATATACATATAGTTGGGTAACAGGAACGCGTCGAATCTCTCCCTCCGTCTTGTTATTCCGAGCGCGCGGGTATATGTATCTTTCTCCCTTACCTTTTTTTTTTTTTTTTTTTTCTTTTTCTCTACATACTAAACTCCTCTATTATTGGGTTCTTTCAATTTACGGCTCTCCCTCGTTATGTGGCTCTCGTTTGTACATAGATACTGGGAGCCAATATATACGTATACATTTATGACGGGTCGAGCTGGAAATGTTCGATCGAACGGTCCATTTCAACGCGAGTGTGTTTGATGCACGTATAACATAACGGATCGGAGATTCCGGCAAAGGACCTGCTTTTTCTCCCCCAAATATATACTCCGTGTCTCCGAGCGTGTATATATAGGTACACCTGTACGTATATACGGCATCGGCTCCGTGGCTAATTATCCGTCCGCGCCGCTAATAACGTCATTAACTCAATTACGCGCCGAAAGGGACATTTATGTGTGTGTGTACGTATAGCGGCCAGGGGGGTGGGGTGGGGTGGCATTTTTGGGGCCAGAGCCGCGTCTCGGGAGAGAAATTTCATGTTGCGCGTGCACGCGCGTCTTTTTGCCCGATCGACTTGCGCGGGGGATCGCTGGTATAATTCGGCAATTTTGTTTTTTGCACGACGGGGCCGCGGTTTAATTGAATCGTCCCTCGTGCCCGCGGTGATGTCCGGTGAAATTAATAAAAATTAATCCACGACTAACGAGAAGGTATTCGCCGAGCTGGCGTGTACAATGGGTTCGCTTGCAGCTGCAGATACCGATTTTTATTAAAATATAGCCGAGGGAGGGGAAAAACAAAAAGAAAGAAAGAAATTGTCCCTCTTTCAATTAGAGCGGGGCGCGTCTCTTTTCCCCCGCGGCGGCGGCACGCGAGAGGGGCCTCTTGCAAAATTCTAACCGATCGTAAGTCACCTCTTTTTCTTTGGACGCCGAGCGCGCATTAAGGAGGAAGCGCGAGAAATCGGGCGAGGACCCTCCGGGCGACGCGTCGCGTGAAATCGCCGGGGATCCTAAATTATTGTACCGCCTCGGCGAAAAAAAGGGCCCCTACACATCTGTCCTCTCGTGCGCGAGTACCGCGTATGGCGTAATTGCGGGATTTGCGATTTTTCGTGTATACATGAAGATTAATCGAGCTGCCGGTGAAATTAGGGACTGCTCCGATGCCGATTAGATCATTTTCGAGGGCCGAAAGGACAAAACGGGCCTTTTTCTGTTTTTCTTGCAGCTGACGTCGCGTGACAACTCGGGGGACCAAAGGAAACACAAAAATTATTTCCAAACGATTACATTATTTATCGCACCATCGGTACATATGCACTTATAAATGTAGTTTTGCCATAGTAAGATGTAATTTTGTTTTAATTCGCATTGTAATTTTCTCCAAAAGTAAAAAAAAAACAAAAAAAAATGGCTACATACACATCGGAGATAAGATCGGTAGGTACAAATCACACACACGCGCGCTCGCGCAGTGCAAACAAAATTGCCAACCGGAGCACTTTAAAAAAGGAGGGTGTGGGGGGGGGGGTAAAGCGAATTATGAAAATCAAGATGCAGCACTGCGGGCTGGGGGCAACAATAATTTGCGCGATGTCGTTGATGCGAGGGTCGCCCGGCACCCCCGATACATATACATACACTTGGATGAGCGGCCCGTGCGAGGAGCTCTCTCTCTCTCTCTCGGAAATTAGCGAGCTAATACCGCACGGAACGGACAAAACGATCGCTATCGGGTCCCTCTCTCTCTCTCTCTGTCCCGAGCGTTTAGCCGTCTAGCGCGTGCACCTGCTGGTGATGGGTGAAGGGTGTTCTAGCGTATATACCTGCTCTCGCGCTAAACGGATTCTCTCTCTCGACCGATTGTTATTTGTTCCTCCTACTCTTTTCTTTTTTTTTCTTCAGACAAACGCCCCTTGTTCGGCGAGGAAGGAAGTGCGAAGGCACGCGACGTAATTCCAGAGGATCGTATCTCCTGGGATTGGGTTTTGGGGTTGTTGGGGCGGGAGGCCTCAATGATGATGGTAATGGGGCGCAGTTGGGCGCTCGTGTATACGTGCATAATCGGGTTAGTTCGCGTCGTATTCATCAATATAGTGTGGCGTCGAAAATTGGATGATAAAAATCAATATTCCCCTACCTCTACCTACATTCATATGGTGTATACTTATAGGTATACACGCGTGTATGCCTTTGATGATGAAATTGTAAGCGATTTCCAAGGCAAACATCCATTAGGGAACACGTTTCTTTTTTTCTTTTTTTTTTCTTTCCTTCGCTATGTATAGAGTCTAGTTTGATTATCTATTAGCTGATGCCTCGGTTGTACAGTAATCATGCCCCGTGCCGCAGTGGTTTCGTGTTTCGAATAAATCACGAATCCACCCAAAAAATGCAAAAGTGAATCTTATTACCGTTTTCGATTTTTTTTTCTTCTTTTTTTTATGCATAAGAAAGGAACGACTTTTTAATTCAGCTTATTCATGATCACGCGATAACGGTTGAAGCAAATTAAAAAGCAGATCGATAAATTGAGTTAGCTTTTATTAATAAAAAACTATTGACGCAAAAATGAAGGAAAACACGATGTGTATTACGTAATATTTGCGCAACTTGTCATCGACAAAACCATTTTTAGACCCATTTAATTTTAGGTTGAATAAAAACAGTGCTCTAAGGAATCGAGGTGGCATTAAATTTCGCCTGCGTTACAAAAAAAAAAAAAAAAAAAAAGAGAAAAAAAAATTTCCCGCTGTATACTTCACAGATACAAGCCCGGATTTTGACAAAACGAAGGTGGGCACGTCCATCCGCGGGACGAAGCGCGGGGGGTTTTCGAAAAAACCTGCGTGACGATCGAGACCGTGTCGCCCGGAAAGGCTTATATTTTTCAAAGCGGCGCACATAAAATTACATCCAGGGAATCAGAGAGACGGGGCTCGCAATCAAAATCCATTTACAAAAGCGAGAAGAGCAGGGAAGCCGAGGAGATGGAAGCGATATTTTATATATGTATATATACGTGCGTGTCCTAGAGAGAGAGGCAGTGCGCGCTTACGTCGCCGTATAAAATTCCCCGTTAATTACCGTCTCGAAACGTGCCATCCGAATCGTAATTCAGGCGTGCTTTGTGTACGTGTATGTGCGTGTGTGTACATGAGCGCGACCGAAACGACGAGGATGGGATGTATAAAAGAGGAAAAAAAAAAAAAAAAAAAAAGGTAAAGAACAGGCGCGACGAGGGGATTTGATTTTTACTACCGCACGGTCATTCGGTCATTTGGGGAAGCTCGTCCTCTCTGATCTCGCCGCCCGGGACCGGCCTATATGTGCATGTGTGTGTGTGTGTACGTACACACGCGCGCGCGCCCGGTTTCTCTGATTTTCGTGTCACGATGACGCTATACTTGTAGATTACCTACGGTAGCACTGATGCGTACAGGCTGTGAATATATCGCGCAAAGTGATAGCGATTGCCGTTAGAGTCCCTTTACCTTTACTTGTGTGACTTTTTGCCGTTTGCACCCATATACGCTACTCTCTACACTAAGATACGAATGGAAGAACAAGTGTTTGGTATGGATAAAGTATTAACGAAAAAAATTGCTTTTCATCGTATGGTATATATACATATATATATAAACTATATAGTAATTTAATGTAATTATATAATAATACAAGCGATGGTTATATTAAGTAAGTAAGTAAGTCTTTATTTGGCACTAAGAACTCAGAGGTCCTGTATAGTGCTTGACATGATGAATTACAGCAGATACATTGTTGTACAAGCGTTGAAAGTGTAAAAACAGCTATCACAGGTAACGCTCAAAGAAAATATCATATAAAACAAAGAGATAATAAAATAAAATATATAAATAAATAAAAAGATAAAAAATAATTAAATAAAAAGATAAAAAATGTGCATAATAACAACACTGATGTAATAAAAACAGTTCATAAAAACAGTAATGGTCAAGTAAAGTATGATAAATAAAATAAAATGGAAGTACAACAAACAATTTTAAGTTAACAGTTATTACGTCCTGTCGAGGATAGAAAACAGTCACGGCGAGTGATGTATAATATACAAACTTTGTTGCTCTTGATGCTCTTTGGCAAAATCAAAAGTTCACATGGTCGATCGATCGAAAAAATGAACTATCGGCAAACGCAAACTAAGTACCGGGGAACAAAATGGAGAAAAAAAAAAAAAAGAGAGGTCTTACCTGTGTGCGGCATCTCGGCGAGCGGCAGTCGTGGAAAATCCACCTGGAACCGAAAAAAAACAAGAGATAAATCACCCCACGTATATATATTATATATACTCCCCCATCCCCCGTTTCTCGAACAGCAGGTATATATACTAGTCATCGCGGGAGACGGAAAGGGGCACCCGCCGTATACCCTCCCGCAATGCATCAAATCACGAGATACGAAATCACGTTGTATATAGATTGTACGCGCGCAATACAACAACGACGACGGGGATAATCGGACGATCGGTATAAGCCGGACCGTGGCCAGCAGCTACACGGTGCCGCGCGCGAGACTAATGAATTTAAATGTATTCAAAAAAAGGGCGCTCGACACTTGACACGACCGCAGGTATACAGCGTTGTGGCCCTCAAATCAGTCATATATACAAGAGCCACGGAGACGGTAGTTTGGCCGATAAGCGCGAAAAAGCCGGTAAAGCGCGCGCCACGCTTACACAATATACGCACCGTACACACGCGCAACTGACCGTGACTCTTTGCGTTTTAATTCCATATATACGCACACGCTTAGGCTTCCTATGGTTTTATGGATTTTTTTTTTTTTTTTTCATGCTCAACGCGCCGACCAAAGTTTTTATTCGCCTCTATTTGGACTGGTGCGCGCGCGATAAATGAAAATTTACGGCTCACTCGCGTAATACTTATGTATATATAAACGCTTAAGTAATAATAATCTCCCGAGTGGCCCGGGACGAAGCTTAAATCAAGATTCGATCCGTTGCGACGGGCCCCGGCGTTCCGCTTAATTTATTCGGGTTACCAGAAAAACTCACCACAGCCAGAGAAGGAGTTCCACCACCAACTCGAAAATGGAAACAACACGCCACATATAATACATGTATATACACACACCCATAGCCGAAGCATATCCATACGGAATTTGTATAATATCATACGGATCGCGTTGAAGTATCCGGCGTTTCTTTACGAGCCGAAAGGAGACGACACACGGAAGATTCGGTTTGCGCCTCGCGTCGTTTGATTAATCAACGCTCGAAGCTGATTTATATACCTGGGCCCCGGGAGATTTAAGTAAATACGCGTGTACGCGAGAGGGAGAGAGAGAGCCCGAAAGGCTTTTGGATCTTTTTTTTTTCCGAAAGAATGTTAATTCGAAATCAAACGGGAGGAGCTGGAGGAATAAAATAAAATTCATCAAATGCGTCCGCGCGTCAACGTATTTTCCGGTGTTTGTGTGTGTATATACACGTATTTATACGTACAAACAGGTGTCTCGCCCAAAAAAAAAATATATATATATGTATATGTTATACACATAACCGGCTTTCATCGGCCGCATCGCGTAGTGCGAAGGTAAAAAATATAAGCCGCCCTCGAGCTTTTCGTTCACGTGCGCGCAAGCTACGACGTAAGGAGCAACAACAAAAAGGGGCGTATGGCGTGTACTTGGGGATGCAAATTAATGCGCGATCACCGAAGCGGTCGCCATCACCCCCTCTCCATAGCGAGCGAGCGCTTTTGTGCACGCGCCGGGCTCAAACCTCCTACCGTTAATTTATATATGTATATATACACACCGCGGTCGAACACCCGTGTGCTCTCGATCTGATTTAATTGTTGCGCTTTATTTACGCGACCTCCAGCCACGGGGCGATTACGCGCAATATATGCATATTTTTTTTTTTTTTCATGCATACACTCAGTGCGCGGACACGCTCTTTGGGCTTTATGCCCCCCCCCCCCCCCCTCGTAATGCCCCTCCATTGATTTTCATTGTCCTTTTTCTATGCAAGCTCGGACTAAAGCTATCCTTGTGCATGTTCGGTAAAATATACATATCCTTTTGGAAGTATACGGGAACATGTATGTATATGGTGCAGGTCGGATCGTCCTCTCGCGGTGCAAACAGCTTCATCCGATACGTGAGGCACGCTTCTGTGATACGTGTTGCAATTAAGCGGCGCATTCCCGGTGCTCCCTTCTGCGGTGTTTTTCTCGTCAAGTGCACCGGTGTACACCGAGGCTGCTCCTCCTCGCTCCAACATTTATACCTCTTATTCATCGGGTTCGCGGCGCGAATTGAGAGATAAAAGGGGAGCACGAGCGCGCGCCCGTCCTTAATTGTTCGTCCTCTCTTGCCGATACACACGCACTTCATAATTTCACCGGCGGGATCATTGAAGCGTTCTTACATTGCCTGCACCCTTCCTCTCTCGCTCCCTCGTTTCTTCGAGCGCTTAATCACACGGATTGATTGATAAGGTGACTCTTGGTACGTATATGTAATATCATTTCACTACAAGTCGTTTTGAGATCGGATTATTGTAGCTTTTTAATTACGCATTGTATGGGTTTTTTTTTTTTTTTTTTTTTTTTCATGTACAGCGCAAGTGAATTGCTTACAATACGACTGGTTTTCTGAGATTTTTGTATGCATAGGAATGGGTCTTTCACGCGTTCAGCGATTGATTTAGTTTCGAATGAATTAATTACTTAAAAATCAACTGTTTCGGTCAAGAATGATGGAAACTTTTTTTTTTTTAACATGCCAAGAAATTCGGTACTTATCGGGTTTTGAGGTCAATTGGGTGTTTATTGTACAAGTTGCTTCTAAAGTTATAAATGTATACTTTTCTTGGTCATTTTGATGACATTCCGAACAAAATGTTCCAATTCATTGAATATTAACTATAAAATCTTACTGATGTTGCTTATCCTGACGCAGGACTACAGCTATTGTCAAAGCGTCTCTGCCAAGTTTACCGCCAACTCACCCCTTCTCTCTCCAATGATGATTATTTTTCTACCTTAAAAGTAAAAATCAATACTTATATCCACGGAAGGGAATAAAAGCCAACTAGGCAATCGCAAGTGCGCGTCAAACTATTACCGCACGCGTGTCCGGGGAAAGGGCAAAAAATCAATGGAGGGTTTGTTTTTTTTTTTTTTTTTTCATAAGATCTATACCAGCTACGCGATACTACCAGATCCACCCGAATCGTACTCTTCGGATCTCCCGATGAACGCCGACAGCTATAAAAATCCAAGCGCATTAGTGCCGCTTCTGCCGCGCGAACCGACTCCTCGATGTACCCTCCACGATAATCCTATACACTTATGCTTGTATTTTTTTTTTTCCTCCCTACCTTGGCGCAAAATCACCGCCAGAGCGGAGGAAATCGGCTTTTTACGGCGCGTAACGAGAGCTATAGCGGACGGTAGCGCTTCTTTTTCCCCGGTGCTAATTGACTCGCATCTGAACGGAGGACGATTTCGGACCTAAACACTTATCAATATATCGTTTGATTTTTGCCGATCAAATTAAACAACCGGTGTCGCTCGACTCTGGAAAATTGAGACGTAACCGATCTCTGCCTCATATCTGCTCTATACGAGGTATCCGTGAAATCGCGGCACTTGTAAAGATACGATTCGCAATTTACGACCGGTAAACTAGAGACTCGGTTCCGCTACCACGAGCACGTTTCAAAGAACAACAAAAACACCTCCACGGAGAGGCTTATCTCGCCGGATGATATTTTGTCGTCGCTTGCACGCCGGTGGGGCCTGTATCGGCGTATCTGCGCCAGGGATCGGTATATACTATCGTCGAGATCGGCGCGCATTTGCATGGAAATCGCGGCTCCCCGGCTTTACCGATCTTTTCATTATATTATGCTACCACCAGTGTGACGCGTACACCTTTGGTTATTACAGGCGCGCGATAACCCAGAGAGACTCGGAGATCCTCGGTCCTTGTACCGAAAGCGCGTGGGCGAACGAATGCGTGGAGGGAACAAAAAAAAAAAAAAAAAAGAATCTCAACTTTTCCGCCAACGATTGGACGAGACCGAGGCACCACGGAGTAATTGGCATAATTCGGGGAGGTAGCGCGCGTTATTCACGCCACTCTCTCCTTTGCTCCTGGAAAGCACGAAAAAAATTTGCATTTTAAATGAAGCGATAGCGTGCCGCGCTACCACCAACCCCTCGGTCCTCCCTCCTTTTTTTTTCCCTACCTCGGCGGTACTTTGTGTTTCATAAGAACCTCTAATATTTATCGCGCGTATACACATAATCCCCCGCGAGCGAGCTTGAAAGCTTTCCCCCCCCCCAACACTGCAGTCGAGGGAGCTTTCAAGCTCGCGCTCTAATTGTTCCGTGCCCCCTTTGGCTTTTAACATCGGGATCTTCATTGTAAAATACCTGCACTTGTATTTTTTGTTTTGTTCAACATGTACGTTTTTTTTCTCACGCCAAGAACAAATAATCAGGTTTGAGGGTTTGTTTCGCGCAACTCGACGAGCATAGAGTTCCAAAACACCCGCCACGGACACGAAACTTCCAACCCAAAGCAATTGCAAAATAACGAAACACATACAGTATATAGGTAAAAAACAGATGCTTTTGCTCACCTTATACGAGTACACGAGAAGTCAACTCGTCGACGAGCCCAGTCCTCGCGTTATCGGCAGCATCCACGGGCGTGCATCGTACAATCCCTCGCGTCTCGATCCTCGGCAAGGATATTGCACTATATGGGGGTGCAGGCAATCACGACAATGACACCTATAGGGCCTCACTTTAGCCTCGAGCTTTTTAGTACTTTGGTCGCACCGGGTGTTGTTTTAAATTATCAACCAAAAAAAAAAAAAAAAAAAGAAAAAAAAAAGAAAAAGCACAAAATGAGCACAGCGAAACGGGCGAACAAAGTAAAGTGGGTAGGTATATGTGATGATAGGAGAGGTGTAGAACGAGCAAACGGCAAGGTCGGACGAGCGGCGCGATGCTGTCCACGCGAGGGACACGGCGTGTCTGCCGAGAATAAAAGAGAGAAGCGCCGCCTGCGCGCGCTTGACGGCTGATGCAGCAGCCACACTCCACACGGGGAAAACCTGTATACGTGTGGCTCTGTGTGCCGGGCGGGCAGGTTGTTGTACGCGTGTGTGCTACGCTCGTCCAGTTCGGCCCCCGGGCGCGCACACGCGCGTGTGTTTTGGAGGCGGGCACCTCGGGGTGTCCGATGTACATGTAGGCGGAAGGTGGCCCTATACTCTCCTCGCGAGTCGCAAGCTCACCGAGGGTATGTTTCATTGTTTGACGATTCGGAAGCTGTACTTGGTTTTTCTTTTCTTTACTCTTCCCGAGTATAAATGAGGACACTTTTTGTACGTCGGAGGGATGGTTTGTCGCGCGCGTGCGCCGGAGCTTTTTGGAGGACACACGCGAACGATTACATTCGTCCGCACGGGAACAAAAACCTTTTCTTTTTTTTTTTTTTTTTTTTTTTTTTTCTGTAATTCGAGAGCGTTTGGGGAAAAAATTCTTTACGTACGTACCTTTACATGTACCATTGAACCCGAAAAAAAAAAAAAAAAAAAAGATAATGACGCGGCATTCCGTGAAATCGAATATTCATCAGCAGCTCTTTCGGTACCTCATATGTATGTATATACATATACGTAAATTGACGAGTTATTTCGTTCCGATGTACCTACAACAATACGAAAGCCGAAAGATTTTTTTTGCGATTTTCAAGGGGAAAAATTAAAGTATACACACAGAGGCTCATGTATATATGTATGATGTACCGACACGGAGGTATAGAGGCCGAGATTCGTGATTTCGAGGTCTGCCGAGCTGTCACTCGCTCAGCCTCGAGGTAAAACGATTTCGACCCTATGCCTCGTACGTACACACATGTATGTATACCTGCATGAAAATAATGTAGGTACCAAAACTGCAGTGTACACATGCACACGAGTGCACATAGTCCTGCACCCGAACGAGGAGAAGAACGAGCGAAGCTGGGGTAAAGTGTCCTGGCAATTTGCCTCGCGGACGTGACGCACCTGCATCACCACCGAGTAGATATTATTATTATTATATACTATACCTCGCCGGTGTATTACACATATACGTAAGCCACCAACACGCGACATGAATTAATTTCACGTGTATACAAGGGTACGATATATATTATATATTTGCACACGATCGCATACGAGCGTGCGTGTGTGTGCAAGCGGTTCATTATCTTATCACGCGGTGGAACATTGTTTCAACCGATAATCACAGGAGTTTCAGCCGCAAGATCATTTATAATCGGGTGTGTAAAAGCAATGAGGTGTTTTTTCGGTACTTTTGTCAATGTGCATTTGCATCCTTATTTGAGGTGTTGCTGCTCAATTTTTGGTCGCTAACGGAAGCAAAAAAAAAAAAAAAAATTATGTTCAAAATTAAACATGGACTACACGCGTTCTGAATAAATTACATTTTACGTGATGGATTTCGTGTTAAACTTGCACCAATTTCGTGTTCTTTAGTCCGCTGTGTATACGTAAATATATAAATATCTTATACACAGATTTTGTCTAACAAATATACAAGTATTTTGAAAAATAATTTTTGTCAAAACAGCAATTCACCCAAACTTCTTATACGTGGGGATTATACGTGTTGAAGAGCGTGCAATTGAAATTCCAGTGTAACTAAATTATGGCGTTAATGCTGATCCACATCGAGATTTTGGTTAATTTATAATCACCAGGTAAAGTGGTTTGACGCAGTGAAGCTGTTGATTATCTTTACCACCATACACGTATACATTTTTCCTTGAAAATAGAAAAAAAGTAATTAAGTAAACTAACTGTACATGCATCATACAATATTCTCGTAAAGACCAAAAACAAGTTTTACTTTAACGCGTACTTACATATGTCAAAGTCAATAAATTCCTTCATGAATGATCATAAGGTTTTTTGAGCCAGTGGGTTCGAAAAAAGAAAAAAAAAAAGATTACAGTATTGTTTTCTCGGGGGAGGCCAATTTCGTACGTTTTTCCGAGAACCCTCCAGCAACCACCTATTGTCTTAGCGAGACGAAGACATGAAAATTCCAGCCACACATAACACAGTTGGTGGACCGTCGATTCGGCGTTGCTCGTAAAAATTATCCACCTCATTAACCATGACTCCCTCGGATCGGTACGACCGCACCGTATAGAGCCGCGCGGTACAACACACAATACACACACACACACACCTTTTAATGGATTGGGTGTCGAGTGACAAATAAACACGGGGTGCACCCGAACAGCCCCCCGCGGAGCAATTGTCCGTTAACGAGGAGAGAGAGAGAGACAGGTTGCGCACGGCTTCACGGGCCATCGCCTTCCTACGCCAAATGTCCTTCGCATCTTTTTTTCCATTTTTTCCTTCCCACCTCCCTCGATGCGTACATATATATATAAACTATATAGTGGCCGCGGTCTAATAGAATCGTCCATCGTGCCCGCGGTGATGTCCGGTGAAATTAATAAAAATTAATCCACGACTAACGAGAAGGTATTCGCCGAGCTGGCGTGTACAATGGGTTCGCTTGCNGGCTCGTCAATATAACCCGGGAGGGGGGAGGGGGCGCATCTTTCACGACCATACATCTACTTCGAGGCCCAGCGGCGTAGCACCGAAACATTGGCTTTGAAATCCGTCGGTGCATATTATACATGGACCCCACATATATATATATATATATATATATATATCTCTGAGGCGCTGTGTGTTTACGGGGGGTATGCGTTTTTTTTTTTTTTTTATGCGTCACCAGGGATACGTGTAGTGTTTGATGCATCGACGTACTATACTCGGAGCTACATACAAATGTTTTTTTTTCAATACACCGCAACAGCAACCAATGTCCCCACACGAGATTTTGTCGTACATAATTATATTGTCATCAAAGCTGCGAGATGACGGAGCTCGACGATCAGCAAAGATCGCGCGATGGCAAAAAACTTCCACCCCAAACGAGTGAAAAAGGGGGTTGGGGGGGGGAGGGGAGCGTCGGCCATCTCTGGCGAAGCGCGTCAATTTTTCCTAGTCGAGGCGACAGTATAGAGGAAAAACGGATCGATAACCGAGATGGAGGGAGGGAGGGTCGAATATAGGTAACACACGTATAATATACAGATAACGTGGAGGTGAGCGAGCGACGTCCTCCCGCGGGCGATAAGATCGGAGCTCCGGAGTGGCCGGGACGCCAGCGGCGGTGCACAGATCACGCGGCCCGAGCTATCACGCCATTGGCTACGAGCCCCGCCGCTAGCTATACGCGACACGCCCAGGAAGGATGCGCGCACACGCGTACGTATAGCTATATAAGAGAGAAGCGCCCCCGCCCTTGCATTGCTTGCACCCAACCCCATCCACTTGTGTATATATTTATTACACAAGAGTTTTTCCCGAAGCTTTGTTGTTACTGCGAGACTGGTTTGCTCCATTTTAGCGCTGAGCGACATATCTCGCTGATGGTGATGATTCCCTATGAGAGTCAGGGGAGGATCGTGGTTGATTTATGACTGGGGGTTGGGTACACTTGTACATTTAACGTAGAAATATTTGTCGGAATCATTGGATTGTCGTGGGTGATGGTGCAGGTTGTTGTTTGGTCCATCGGGGAGAGAGCAAACACAATACGGGAATTGAAGGGTTCTTTGTGGCGCACGAGAGATAACATACAGATGCAGGGCTCGATCGGATTGTCGTCAGTGGGAATTACTATACACGAGGCGTATAGCGAAAAAAAAGAAGAGAATTCTTAAAACGTGCATAATTACATCTCTGAATAATAATATTTATTTGTTGAGTGTAGAATAGTAATGGTAGTAGGGCTATACAAGAGAACCGCGCAATTATATCTTGTTGCTATTCGATTTTTTTTTTTTTTTTTTTTTCTACGAGCCACTCACTGTTTGACCAGAATAATTGGTGGAAATTATCCTAACGAGTCCTAGTTCCGTAAATGTCTCTCGTGTGTTTTCACACGATAAAAAAAAACACATGTATTTTTAAACGGCCAATTGTATTTTTTAACTTTTACACTGTTTCTACATCTTAACCCTTGAATGGTATGTAATCAAAATACACGATAGTTTACCTTATTATTGTGTGTTTTGTTTTTGTTATTGTATATATATAAATCTTCAGTACCACAAGTGCTGGTTGCATTATTTTTTCGCACGAAGAAGCGTAACACTGTACATGGGTGGTTTGATCGAGTGAAATATTTCGACCCCACCGTTACGTCTCCCCTGTACTCACAAGGTAAAAAAAAAAAAAAAAAAAAATTGCACAAACATTAACAGACTCAAGGTAAAACATTTTCACCGTTTCACGCGATTGTAGATGCTTTTTTGCCAATCAGAGGAACCACAACGAGTGTTGAGCAAATATTTACACAACCGTACTTTGAAAGAGGATTTTTTTTTCCCCGGTAATTGCGGCGCACAGCCATCAGCGCGAGTGAGGATTTTTTTTTTGTTCCCTCCCCTTTTCGAAACCCGAAGAGCATCGTCGTTGAAGCGAAACATTTTGCGACGCGCCGTCGAATCATTCCGAAAACCGATGAAACATCCGAAAAGGCCCCAAAAATCCGAGCGGATAGCCCCGCAATGGCACCCTTCCACCGCAGAAACAACTTCTCGGAAGCGATGGCGCGAATAACAATCGACCGAGTGGGCGCGCCATGAAATTACTTCATCTCTCGCGCCCCGGACCCGTCCAAATGTGTATACACTCGAATGTGCCAATAACACGCAAATCACTCCCTTCTTCTTCATTAGCTGTGGACTCGTAAAAGCGACCTCGACTCGCACAATTATCAAAAGTGCAAACGGGGCGGACAACGTACAAACGTACGTGGGTATTTTTTCCTTGTTTTTTTTGTCCAACGAGGCGCGATGTTGCG